CGGTTTAGACATGTCTGCCAACCCTGTAGAACACTGTCAACACTGTGTGTTCTGCTGTCTGCCAAAACTGTATATTTAGCGTATTTTTGTTTTTTTTGTCTTTTTAACCTTTTTATTGTTTTTTGTGTTGTATTTTTGTTTTTTTTTTTCTGGCTTTCATGTCTGATGCCGAATAAATGTATTTTCTTTCTTTCTTTCTTTCTTTGTCTGATCCACAAATTGTTGATCCGGGTCTGGATGTCTTGTGTATGTAAAATTGTATGTTTGTAACAGCACCCACGACACAGGAGAAAAGTCTAACGTAGGGCAACTATTTAAAAAAAAATAGTTTTTGAATTTATTATTGTACTATTATACAATATTACTACTATACTATCGTACGTATTGAAGGAAGATGAGAATAAGATTCAAAATTCAAAACCTGAATCAATGGTTTAAACTTAGACTAATCAAAAATATTAATATAATAATAAATCTTGTTTTGTAATAAGGGAGTAAGAGTTTAAGCACTATGAGTTGGAAAAGTGTTTTAATGATTTTCCCCTATGAAAAAATGGTAATTATGGCAAAGGTAGTCGCTAGTAAAATGTAAGGGAACGGGGCTCATTTTCCATTTCCACCAGGGTAGCCGCTACTTCACGGCCTGCAAATCCCGGCAAGATCCACTATTCCTAATCTAAGTGGCGAATAATGACAACCAAGATTTAAATTAATTTAGATTAAGATTTAGATTTAAATAACCCAACCTGGAAATGGAACACGAGCCCCGTTCCCTGACATTTTACTAGCAACTTCTTTTGGCCAAAGAGATTCATAGTCCAGTCAATTAGCAGTTCACCTAAATTATAAACTGCTGCTGCTGATTAAACTTGTTGTTAGTTATGTCATTTAAGTATATTTGTTAAAGTCGAGTTTGTTTCAAGTTTTTATATGTATTGAAATATCGAACACTATTCCAACCGCCAAACTGTTATAACAGTAAGGAGGGTTAGAAAAACTGATCTTAATTTTGAATTTTAAATTAAAGGAATGGCTTTTAAGTTTGGGAGAGTCATGAATGAGTCAGCTCGACCGGAGTGATACCACGGCCTCACAGAAAACCGTTGTGAAACAACCAGAGCGTCTTGTTTCGCCGTGTGAGTGAGGTTACCAGGATGCCCAATTCTTGCCCTCCTCCAATCTCCCAAATCCTCATCGCTAAATGGCAAAGCACTCGTAACTTCTTCGTTGTTGCAGGTATTCATGGGTGGCGTCAACTGCTGCACAAAACAAACTGGCCCAAACACAGTATAGTGAAATACAATGCACATTTTGCGTTTTAAAAAAAAAGTAGTAAAAAAGCCAAAAAAAATATAAAAATTCTATTACTACAAGCCTAAAAGTTACCTACTTAGTATTCGGAACGGTTTACTAGTACCTAACAAAATTGGGACGGTAAGAAAAAGTATGATAACACTATAAATTGTTGTATTCTTTGCTGACCTTACTACTTGAGAGGAAATAGGGTTGCCAAAAATTTAATAAAATGTTTTTTGGGAAAAAATGTAAGTCGGTCTTTTTTCGTAGCATCAACCGATGCCGATGTGAGGGATGTGTGGATGCCAGTTTATTATTAGTAATAATTATTGTTTTAATTTTAAAAAGAAAAAGTCGCCTGCTTTTGTTTAGAGAGCGTATCAGACTATCACTTATTACAAACCCTGTTCGTAACTTTTGCTGCAAGCTAGGCCGCGTTGTGTATTGGACAAATGGCTAGTGCGCACCGTGTTGCAAATTTCGATTTCTGCGCGGAACTAATGTTGTTGTGGTCTACGAGTGACGAGGGTCTGGGTGTATGGCGTATATGAAAGTGTATATAATATGTTTTTGAATTCACCTACGACAACACATTGACATCTTCTTTTGGAAGAAATATTAGTAAAGAGCAAAGACTTTTTAAAACTTTCGTTTTGTAAAAAATTAGGAAACGTTTTGGTCATCTTCAAAATATCTAACCACAAAATATTTAATGAATTATTCAGATATTGATCACTTAATCTAAGCCACAACCAGTAACCAAACCAGACAGCGACACGAACATCATTCAAAACAATTACCAAATGACACACAACAAAACTAGCATCGGCCTTTAATGGCCGCTAAAGTGCGTCCAACTAACAACTACATTGGCAAAAGTTAAACATGACATTTCCCGAATTACTGGGGAATGCTTGACACACTACCCATAGAACCCTACCCGACTACCAACACTTTCAAATTCAGAAATTAAACAGTAAGTTTGTAAAGGGCTGTATGTATGTGGGTGTATGTCTGTGTATATGGGCGTTACGATACGGTAAAAGGTTATTGTGAGTCAAAAATTTTTACCAATAATGGACTTGTAATGAAGTGCAAACGATAAAAATGATGTCTAGTGGTTCCATGCAGGAATTCAATGGTCGCTCACAATAATGTAATAAACAGGATATCGAATAACCACCACGCTTGTTCAAGGCAGATTGGCGATTCAAACGTATGATTATCGCCATGTAAATGAGATTAGATAAGATCCAATCCTCATCTGGAACTCCATATTCTCAAATTCAGCAAACGACTTGAAGGGTCCACCTGATGGTAAGCAAACGAGCTCATCGACACCCGCAAAATCAGAGGAGTTGCGAGTGCTTTGCGTTTGAGATTAGGAGGGACTTAGGGATTGGGAAGGGATCTAGGCAGGGGAAGGATTGGGCTTACGGTAACTTCACTCACATGGCGAAACACTAGGCTGACATACACATGGACGACACTGATAGCTTCCTATCAAGTAAACTATCTGCTTATACAATATAATAAGGATGACTTCGAGGAAAAACAATGTTTAAATTGTATACTGAGAATCAATCACAATTATAAAAAAATACGTAATGATAACATATTTAATTAATGAGATGAGTATTGAGTCATCCTCTGATTATTTAGGTGTAGCTGTTGTTATAAATTGCAAGCTTGTAGCGTAAATTAAAAAACATATTATAATACTATAAAGAGGTAAAATATGTAATTTGTAATGTGGGTAATATTTGGAACCGCTCTGGTCAGATTTCCAAAATTATTTCACTGAAAGATAGCTTACATCACCCTACTACGACCAGCAAGACCGGACCAGCGAGTAAAATCGCGAAACAGTAACTAGTAAAAAATACATAATTGGAGCTACCAAAATCAGTCTGTGACACATGTTCGAAATGTGGCAAGTACTAATGTTAAATGTTAGGAAAAATATTAGTTTTAATTCCGCGACAAAAATCTAGGCTTGATGCAGGATGAAATCCCAAGCAAGGGTAACATGCATATGCACACATACAAAAAACCGAAAAACATGCCACGCAATCAAACCTATACTCGACACGTGTTTCGCCACTCCACAGGCCATCCTCAGGAGATGCTGACTCGACGAGCGCTCGGCTGCGAATTAAAACTAAATATTTTCCTAACATTTAATGTCATGGATTTCCGCAAAGTAACGCCTGATTCTATAAAGTACTAATGTGAGTTTTTCTGAATCATATGAAGAGTAAACTTATTTAGATGCAGTGAAAGAAAACATTATTAGGAAACCTCGACTTAAATGTTTCGGATTATTAGTTTGAAATCGCCAATACATCTTCAGCAGGCAGTGATTAATGAATACTCAAATCTTCCCCATGAGTTAAGAGAAATTAACAAATTCAAATGAGTTAAGAAAAGTCGTATAAAAATCGAAACACGCTGTAACTTTCTCAATCAGTCCTCTAGTCTAGGTATTTACTCGTTCCAAAGTGTTGATTACTCATTTTCTGTCAGTTTAAAAATCGAATTATTTGTTACATTATTAAGTTAGTCCCATTATATTAACATAGTCGTGGTGAAAAACAATCTTTATAATCGATCTTACCTAAAACAAAACAAATCTCGTCGAGTTTTACAACTAAAAAGTACGACAGTTTATCTTAACGAGACATTGATGGATCTTTGCGGCCTGTTGAGAACATTGTATTAGGACGATAATCGATTAAAGCTTAAATATCTTAACAACTGATAAAGAGAATAAAAAAATATGTAAATAATCACACACAATCACTTCATATCATCACTATCCTATAAGTGCAAACTAAAGAACAATGTTAGTGATGAAATAAGCGCTTAAATTATTTATATCGCAGGTCAAGGCGCCCGCTTCTCGTGCGTGAGGATGCAGGATCGATACCTTGCAACTGCCAATAAATGCCAATTCCTAATGTTATGTGCTTTGTAAAATGAATTAGATACCATTGGCATACGGTGAAGGAAAAAAATATCTAAAGGAAACCTGGACTTAATTCTTGTTGTGAGTTTGATTACCAATCTGCCTTAAGGAAGCGTGATGATTAATACTCAAACCTTTTTCGTGTGGTAAGAGGCCTTTGTTCAGCAGTGGGCACTTATAGGTCGATGAAAATTATTACAACTTTTTTGATGGAAGAAATCAATAAATTAATTCTTCCGCCCCTTAGAGAAACGAGAATGTCACATTTTTACAGACTAAAAACCACGAAGATCTTTATCCTGCTGCAGATTAGCGCAGCAGTACTTACACGTATACATGGGTAACTTAAAGTATTATATTTGTGGACATAGACATACATATCCATGAGATGACACACATAATTACATATGTCCATGTAAAGTTCAAACGTAAATGAAAGGTATTCAGAATTCCGACTCGTCATAATAAAATTATTTCAACTCCATATCATAATATATTATCGTGCATCAAGTAAGTTATTTCAAAGCCACATTGTATAATACGAAATACAATATTACAGTTGTAGCAAGATTTGCTGGAAGCAGTTCCTTGGCAGGTTTATGAAAAGTCCGACTCGAGCAATGCGGTGTTGCTATTGTTAGTGTGAGCATACATTGGGTAGTAACGTGTTTGGAATTTGTGTGCTGTTACTAGTTATGGGCGCCTGGTATTTCTAATTCACTGCTGGTATTTTAACATGTGCAGGATAGTATATCGTGGAGAGCTGGAGGTTGTCAGAGCAAGTCAAGAGCATTATTACTTATGTAAGTTGGGCACATATTGAACACATTTGAAAATAAAAGTAAAGTATTTAAGCAGTAATACGTACTACACCAATATCTGAAAAAAATATGTGTGTAAATAAAAATTGGACTCACATTATACGTTATTCCATCGCCCAGTCAAATACACATAAATTAATAGAAGGCACAGCAAAAATAACACAAGCACACAGAAATAGATATGGATAGTTAACTTATGCACAGGAGAAGAGAAGAAAGCAGTCAATATAGTTACTGTATTGTAGCAGATAAAGTATTAGCGACAGAAAAGTTGTAAGTAATAATTCACAAGCTTAAAACAATATACGCATCGCAAGGATGTCTCAATCGCTCGTTTTTATTGACATTCAAACACCATATGTATCCAGTTATAGTGTATAATCTATGATAATTATGTACTCTCTAGACGAGAGGTTCACATTACTGACAGATTCACAAAAGAACTTGACATAGAACAATAGACTACAATCATAAACTATATTAGTGGCAAAGAGTATTTATGTGTACCTTTCACCTTTGTGTGTACATTTTTATTTTTGAGAGAAGAAAACTTCTCCTTTCTGCGGGGTGAAACTGAGTGTTAGAATCAAGGAAAGTTTTGAGGGAACATTCAAAGAAAAAAATCGAATAACAACTGGGAAGATTGAAGGAAAACAAAAACCTAGGTAATCAATTTTAAGTAAGTATTACCAAACTTTTTTCCAGGTTAAATCATTAAATGTTTTTCTCCCACCTCCGGTCTCAAATCAGTCTCTCACCCTGAAAACTAATGACAGACTGGCTTGGAACCACCTCGTTTCTTCTCCCGTTCCAGGCCGGAGCCGGGGTACATTATACTTAATGTACCACGTATGTATTAAAGTAAGGGAATATTCAGTATTAAATGAGTAGCGACATCTACCGCATAACACGCAGCAACAGCACCAATCACATTCAAATTTCTACATCGTGGTATAACACTTCTCGACACAAAAAGAACGAATGGGTTGGCTCGACCGGAGTGATACCACGACCTCACAGGAAACCAGCGTGAAACAACCACAGCGTTGTGTTTCGTCGTGTAAGCGTCGTCGTGTACCGGACGCCCAATCTTTCCCCTCTCCCAATACCAAAATCTGCAAATAACTAATCTTCAAAAGGTCGGCAACGCATTCCTCCGTCATTGCGGGTGTCCATGGGCGGCGCTGATTGCTTACCATCCGGTAATCTCGACAAAAACTGTTAGGCAATACCCGTCTGGTCGGAGGATTCTTCCTCTTCAATGAAGGTTGAGGAACTTTACACCCTGTTCTTTCATTTCTCCAAAAATGCAACACTAACTTTTCGCCGTTCAAGAATAATATGAGTATATATATCATAAAGTATTTAATATTAATCGCATATAACAGTAATTATCTTGGAAACAATATCAATCAAACAATAATCGCTACATCTCACAAATTGGACCATAAAATGTCCCTCCAATAATACATATCAGTATGTACGAAAATTAATACAATTTAATTCGCTTCACACTTTGTATATAAACAATCGTAGGCACCAAGACTTTATATAAATAATTATATAAAACAAAATAAATTAATTCTGAGCTTATCAGTACTATGTGGAAGGTCGTGATAGTGGTGTTATCAGCTCTATGTCATATCTACGCGCGTGAGTAACTTACTATTAGTAATATTTTAGTTTATTTACTCATACAAATTATATATATTTATTTCAAAGTATTTTGAACCTACCAATATAAAAAAACCGAGTGAATACTTTATATGCTGAACAAAGGTCCAGCCAAATAGTTATTTTTTATTATCTATACTAATATTATAAAGAGGTAAAATTTGTAAGTTTATATGTAAGGGGTAATCTTTAGAACCGCTGGTCAGATTGTCAAAATTCTTTCACTGATGGATAGCTACAATGTTCCTGAGTGCTATAGGCTATATAACAGCACGCTGAGATTAAATGGAGCCTTGCAGTGGGTTAAACCGCGCGAGAGCAGCTAGTTAAGTATATTTGCTAACAAGTAGCCATTCAGCCAGCCAGCCAGAGATATGCAGCTATGCCGCTCATGAGTCTGAATCACATTTTTATTAGAAACTACATATATACTTAGTAAAGCTTTTTGTAAGATAGTTAATATTTTAAAAATACGCAGCAATTTTTGGTTACTACGATTAACAGGACTTTTTTCACACACTGCACTGTAAAAAATTATAAACCAGAAACTATTCTTGACGAGTTTTCAACTTGCCTATGGCAATTATTAATAACGCGGAAAAGTAAGTTATAACACACACATTAATACTACAATAGACCGGGTTCCCTTACATACTTATCAACCTACATACTGATCCAATGATCCTAACTGACCCTAGGGGCTGGCAATCAGCTGACTCATCCCCCCTCCCCCTCCACACCACCTTGAACTTACGTCACGATGACTAAGAACTATTTATCAACATCTGCAACAGTATTACGTATACTGGCGATTTAGAGATCCGTAGTGTTAGGATAAAAAGCTTTTAGTGAGAGATTAATATTAAATAGATTCTCTAACAATAGTTATTTAAAATTGAACCTCATTGGCATTAAAGTTTCTCAAAGTCAAAACCACTTATTTCAATTCGACCCTTATATGCATTTTTTAACGTCAAACAAAGATTAAAAATAATAAGCGTCAGTATGTCGGTCAGTCCTCTTAGTAAAGCGATTTGCTCGTTCCAAAGTGTAGATTCCATAGAGAAGAACGAGCAAGAAACTCCATGGTTACTTTTTTAAATCAGTTTCGTATACAGATTCTTTGGTACGTTATTAAGTTTGTGTGTTAAGTGGTGTGCGTTAAACGTAGTTTAGACATCTTCATTGCTTTGTAAACCTTATATAAAAATAGTATCCTATGGTCCCATGAACGAAAACAAACAAAGTTAAACGAAATGCATTTTCATTAAAAGTTTACATTTGTTTTCCAAAAGTAAGCTTTGTTTCGTATTTACAAAATTGCATAGAGTTCTCCTTTCTTACTTTGAAAGGACTTTATGTGGGGGCAAAATCCTTTGACCCAGTTTCCAGTACATTTTCTCTACTTCTTTTTTTACCCTTGCCCACAAAACAACACAATGTGCTAACCGTTTAATAAAATCACAAACGATGCTAATGAAACATGTAAAAGAAAACACATGTTTTTTCACACAAAAACTTCAAACGGTTTCATTGTTTTAGAACCCATTTACGTGTGCTTTTAACCGACATTTTCCTGTGCCCCCAATAATCTCAATATTATTAAAAACAAATATTTCGGAACCTACTAAACCCGAGGCCCAGTTCCGTGTTTGCTTTGAAAAAGAGGCACATAGATCCACGTAAATCAATGTGAATAAAAATGTAATGATAACTCGGTATGAGGTCTGTAGGTTTATTGAACATTTCAAAGGAGTTGATAGTCAAATTGAGATACAAAATGTTACTGCAAATATTAATATTACAGCTAAATATCAATACTCGCCATTCTTATAACCCATAATAATTATGGGTATTTAATATTATTAAAATAACTAGGAATTTTAGTTAATGTTTCATGCATGTTAGTTAAGAGGCCATTTTAGTCAATTTCCGTTATTCAATAATTTGTCAGCCTCTCCGCAAACTCTTTGTGTGAACCACAAATTGTTGTTCCTGGTCTGGGTGTCATGTGTATGTGAAATTGTATATTTGTAAACGCACCCGCGACACAGGAGAAAATCCTAACATGGGGCAACATTTCTTTGAAAAAGGAAAAGAAAGAAAGAAAAATGTAACGTCGACTTCGTCCACGGTTTTTGAACGATATAGACCAACACTTAAAAACTAAGATATTGCTACATACGTGCCGTTTGTTTTCATTGACGTAATTATAATTACCTCAGAATCTGAAAGTGTTTTGTGTTTTTTTCGAACTTTCACAAGAGTGTTCGTTGTTTTAATATAATTAATCGAATATAGACACTAAAAGTAAATACATCGTCCTGTTGGATCGTAGGCGAACTATGTATGGATGATGAGCAATATCCTTTCTCTTTAATTACTTATTAATCTTGATATAATTGTACCGCAGTGGACTACAGGCTGTGTCAAGAAACGCCGAAGGAAAAACATTGTCTAATAGAATACAGCGTGCGATATCGATGGCCGCATCAAGTCAGGTAAGGGAGAGTTTTAACGCACGTACGTATTAATACAAATTATAAAATTCAAATTCAAATTACTTTATTTGTAGATCATAGGTTACAGAAGATGTTACAAGCTTTACATTGATCTGCTATGTCTTGCCACCAACGGCGTACAAATATGTTAAATTAATTTACCATTTATCAATTATACAAAGATTTCAATATTCAGATTAGTCATTAAATTACATAAAATTAAAATATAGGGTCATGCACTGTCAATATTATACATTACATAGCATCATAATTATTACAATCATTATCATATGTCATTAAATTAAACAAATAATGTTTAAAAGTTAACGAAAGCTTTTTTATGGTATAGGTTGACAAAAAAACAGACGGATTACCTGATGGTAAGCAATTTGCGCCGTCTATATATGGACGGAGATGGAGTGACGAGTGCGTTGCCGGTCGTTTAGGGAAATAAGGGTTTAGGATACTTAAGTATTGGAAAGGGATGGAGGGAGGGGGAGAGATTGGGCCTCCGGTAACGTCATTACATTACATTATTGAAACACAACGTTAGGATTGCTTCACGCCGATTTTCTGTGAGGCCGTGGTATCACTTCTGTCGAGCCGACACGACCCATTCGTATCGAAACTTGGCTCTACCACACTTGTTGGTGAAAAAAATACAACCAAAATTTTGTTCGAGGCAGTGAAAAATTTCAGAAGCTCGTAAAATAAGTTTCACCCGTACAGCGAAATGTTTCGTAAGTGCGTTTCAATTTGAGGAAAGGTGGTTGCCACTCACTATTCATAAGTACCGCGTTACCAACCACACACCAATTTCAACTATGCCTCGTTGACACGGAAACTCGATATCAAAAGCCGCGCTCCAGTGAAAATAATCCTATCACTTCAAACGGTATTTCGCTTCGTATTTCAATATGTTTTACGTGATATCCAATGATAAAGGTACCTACTATAAAACGTAAACTTTGTAACATACCTGTGAAAATTATATGAAAACGTAGTTTTTAGTGAATTGGTGATAAAATAATTACTACTTTTATAAATTACTTTTGAAATGAAAATGAAAAAGTCGATGATATATACATATACAATCATATGTTTCCTTCCAAATCTATACTAAATTAACTAAAATTCGCGGGTTACTCAGGTGTAAATGTTGAGAAAAGCTCTACTAGTTTCGAACCACAGAGGGGTTCTTCCTCATGAGCAGCGTGCGCGGACGCGGCGACGTCGCGCAGCCTACTGACTTGTAGAGCTTTTCTCAACATTTACACGTGAGTAACCCGCGAATTTTAGTTAATTTAGTATGTCTCACGATAGTTATTATAAAAACAAATCTATACTAATGTTATTGAGTTTGTTTGTTTGTACGCGCTTATCTCCGGAAATACTAATTTGAATTGAATTATTTTTTGTTGGGTAGTCCATTTATCGAGGAATCTGGCTTTTAAACGTTGCGCTATGACCAATAGCAGCCGAGGATCGGCTAAAAAAACAGCACGGAAGGAGCTAGTAAAACCACAAGCACGTACTAGGTATTACAAAAATAACATTGTAATGTTTATACGAAGGAGAAAAACTTGCTTACTGCATACTTACGTTATACTTAAGCAAGTTCACTAGTACGTGTGAATGGAGCACAATAATAAACGCGATGTAGAGGATATTTGCATTTGAAATATTACTAGCGTATTGCATTCGCTGGAGTGTTTACGTTTAGATTCTGTCGCAATAAACAGTTTCCTGTCGACAATGGCTGTGGGGCGTTGAGTTTCAATGTTACTATGGGATACTATAAACTGTAAAAAAATTGCGGTTTTTGGGGATGCGACATCAGTAGGTATATTATTTAGTAGATTGAAGTTTTTTTAACGATCTCAAGAGAAAGTATCAATCTTAAGCGTCTAACTTGAGTCATTTGTTTAATTTTAAGAACATTTCACCATTTTTATGTTTTTTTTTATGTAATTTGTCGGCAAACGAGCAGACGGATCACCTGATGGTAAGAAATCAGCGCCGCCCATGGTCACCCGCAACGTAAGAGTTACGAGTGCGTTGCCGACCTTTTAGGGATTAGGGATTTGGAGATTTAGGGATTGAGGAGGAATTGGGGGCGGGGAAGGATTAGGCCTCCGGTAACCTCACTCACACGGCGAAACACAACGCTGTGGTTGTTTCACGTCGGTCTTCTGTGAGGCCGTGGTATCACTCCGGTCGAGCCGACCCATTCGTGCCGAAGCATGGCTCTCCCACACTTAAAATGTGATATAGGACGACAAACGATCATACTTATTACCTGATGATAAGCAATCAGCGCCGCCCATGGATACCCCATACAACAGGGGAGTTACGAGTGCGATGCCTACCTTCTGTGGATTATGGTTTTAGGGTATTTAGGATGGCGGAGTGTTTGGGGGAAGGATTGGTCCTCCGGTAACCTCACTCATACGGCGAAACACAATGCTTTGGTCACTTCACTCCGGTTTTCTATGAGGCCGTAGTCACACACCAGTCGAGGCGAGTAGCCGACCCATTCGTGCAAAGGGTCTTAAATAAAAAATAAAAAAATCCAAATAATCCATTTAAAATGTGCTTGATACTTTCAGATACGTTTTCAACTGGCATACTAAATCCTGCTTCGTGATCAGATGGTCAGCTCACTGCCCCGCCGTGGTATCGCCAACTACAACCAACAACTTTTCATCAGAAAATGAATGCCTCGACGAGTGTGGCGGTTGGGCATAGCTTAGAACGTCTCTAATAAAGAAGTTTGAATTTCGAATAGTTTTTTTTTATTTAAAAAAACTTGTCTGTCCTCCTTATGGTGACCTTTTTATGTTAAAAATATAAAATATAAGAATCATTTTCTATGCTGACTAGAATAAACATATATGACAAAAAAAAATTCAGAATCTTTGTTTTAAAAAGCAACCCACTGTTTCCGCACCTTTCTAACTAGGCAAATTCAAAACGCTTATCCAAATGTAAAAACGATACTCTTCTATGAGATTTCATATAAAATAGCTTGTTTCTTAAAATTGCTTTAATAAATCGAAAATGTACAAGTGCATCAATAAATGACAGTACTTAGTATTTTTTTTTAAAGTTACTTCCTCAAAGTCATGATAATGTTTCTTTTTACTAAGGGAATGACCAAATAATGTATTCCAGTACCGAATAGAAAATAATACGTTTTTCATAATATATATATGAAGTTCAAATAATAATTTGCTCTCATACTACATTTATGTTTATCAATAAATACAACATTTGCAATAAATATATTTTATCGTAGACATATTATGTCAAATCTCACGTAATATCAGTAATATTATTTATGAAAAAAGGACAATTTTCCGTCCCAATATCACGTATCGTAAAGAATTGTTTAGTATCCTTACGTATATGGATATTTACTGTTGTACCCTTTTGTTTGCCAATAACAATATATTTCTTCTGAATAGTATTTTCATATTGTTTGAGATTCAACAGCCCTTCTTTACTATTAGCTATTTTTTATAGAGAAAAATCATCAGATACCTATTTTCTACCCAGTATGGGACGAAACGGAGTGTCAGACTTAGACTAAAACCAACCTGGCCTTTCTACTTCAGTCTGGGACCGAGGTACATTATTGTTTTCTTTCTTGATCCACAACCTAATAAAGAGGTTAAAATACAAATACGGTAAATCAGTGGCAAAATTGTATAGTTTCACTTTTCAGTAAATTCAATAAAAACAACACCCAACGTATTGCAAAAAAAAACTTAACTACATGTTTTGCGTAACATTTTCATGTACATATTTCTGGGCCTGACCCTAATCCGATGTTCATTCGTTCATAGAAGCGTACAAAAGTAACCTAATTTGTCTTATCTGACCTTCTTGAATATGTACAACAAAAGCTATAGAACCTCTTTTTGTTTTATTTCGATTAACCTTCAAAATAATTATAATTTATATAGATAGAACTTTGTGAGGCGAGAACAAAACGTATCTATAAATACAAAATTAATTTTCTCCTCGTGCTTTCTTATATCTTTAGACAGGCCTACATTTTAGACGTCGTTTTAAATTACTTTTGTTGAGAACAAAATATTAAAATTAATTTTGCACCATTTTAAATTATCTTTTTTAAAGTAATGTTTTAAATTCAAAACATATTGTGCTTTTAGGGACTAACGTACGTTTTAAAATTTAAAAATATTATGCATAGTTTTTTATTTGGATATTAAATACCTAGTTATGACGTCTCGTTGTTTATATTATTCTTAAAATTTTCAGTCAACTAAACAAGCAGACGTACCTATTTCAATTGCAGTGTCTATTCTCAAACTTTGAGAACTTGTAATGAGCACAAAACACGCAAAACAGAGAATATAAGTAGGGCAAAGTTTACAATGATTCGTATGAATATAAAATAGAACAATCAGCATGGAAGTCAGACGAGGACGGGGCGCGGCGACTAATAGGCGGCTCGCCTAACTTTCGCTTTATATCCAACAGAGTAATTTCAGGACAGATACTACGACATGAATGAGAATCTAAACTGTGTGGGAGTGCCAAGCTTCGGCACGGATGGGCCCGCTCGACCGGAGTGACACCACGGCCTCACAGAAAACCGTCGTGAAACGACGACAGCGTTGTTTCACCGTGTGAGTAAGGTTACTGGAAGCCCAACCCTTCCTTTCACTCCATCCCTCCGCAACCTTTAAATATCCAAAACCATATTCCCCAAAAGGCCAGCAAGGCACTCGCGTAACTCCATTGCGGGTGTCCATGGGCAGCGCCGATAACTTATCAACAGGTAACACATGTACTCGTTTGCCAATCTATTTCATAAAAAATAAGCGTATAAATATGATAATAAATGATATTATATGATAAACCATCGATTATTTTGTAAACCATGTTTCGTTAAAAAATCTACATTATATTTTAAGTTTATTTTTATTTATGTTATTCTGCAAAAGAACACTTTTGGAATAACCAAACTATTACTGAAGGTCTAATGTAACCAGTGAAACACTTTGAAATTGTTAATATGGGTAAATCTCGTGCCCTAAACGCTTTTGAGTATTTAGAATGTCTAAGAATTCAAGAAATGAGTTCCGATTGCAATGTTCGGCACGATACACTAAATAAATATAGGCAAACATATATGTAGATCTAGACAGTATGAAAAAAAATATTGTACCTATACCCATAATAAAAATGTAATTAATGTTTCACCACTTCATAATACGATTCCCTGATGTAGCATAGAAAAGTGTGAAACATACACGAGACACTCAGTAGTAAAAAAAAGTTGCGCACTATAAACAAACAGAACAGTATTTATGTATACAAATCACGAAATACTAATATAATTTGTCTATGAAATGGACGGCCGTGTCCTTGACATGAGGAGTCTCTGTCCACCCCCTACTCTGCGCCGTCACACCCTAATCCCAATCGTGGCTTACAGCCAGTGTTTTGTCGCTGTCGCGGCAACAGGCAGCTTTTACCGGCCTTTTACCGGATTTTTACCAATATTTTTTTACCGCGTGTGTTATTTTTTTTCGGCATGGGGAACAAAGTTGTCACCTTCACGGAACAGCAGCTAGAGGATTACCAGGTAAATGGTTTGTTACTGGCCATATAGAACGGCGCAGTTTTCTTTAATTCTATTTTCAAAATTTTGGCGCGAATTTGTGACGTTGTTTTTTTTTCATTTGAAGATGTATTTCTAGTGTTTGTTGAAAACAGTTTTTAAGAATAGTTTGAGATTAATAATACCTAATGAACTAGTGTAATATTTGTGTTTTCTCATAATCACCCACCATTGTTTGAACAGGACTGTACATTTTTTACAAGGAAAGAAATACTTAGGTAAGAAATTCTTAAATATTCTTCTTTCCTCTCAATATTATTATTTTTGGTGTTTTCTTCTACGTAACTACTTCAACATTTAAATATGTATGTATGTACCTACTTAACCGTTACGGGCGACATTTAATATTGTAAAAGTTGACAAGACAAAGAGTTTTACTTATACATTAAACTATTCATAATATCCTTACTTACGTAAATTATTTTCATTTGTATGAAAATGTTATTAGAATAAACGAGAGAAAGAGACAAAATATGTCTTTTTGCCCTTCATCTAATAAACATTGGTACACCCACGTGTGTAAATACCACGGCGGGTATCCTTGGGGGAAATTCCATAGACAGACACTAGCGACCTGCACTCAAAACGTACTTAATATATCTACGTTCTTTTAGGTATGATAAATACATAATTCGGTACCTTTCTACGTTCAGTAAGCTTGCGGTGCTAAAAAGAAACTTCCTCGGCCTAGTGCAGGAGCAGGAATAGGGGGTTTTTAGTCAGTTAGAGTCTGACATTATCTCTCTCTCTCTCTCTCTCTCTCTCTCTCTCTTCGACAAAAATGTAAAGTAAATAAGATTGTATTATTGTAGATATTAAAAAGAAACATGTTATTTCTTCTATAAAATACTATAGTTATGTGGTTAGTTGTAGTAGGTATGTAAAATCCGTATTATTTAAATATGTAATTTTAGTAATCTTTACTGGATATTGTTTGAGAAGGGCACGGGCCCCGAGTCGGTGGAGATTGTAAATGATTAATTAAAAAAGGAATTAGGCGAGAGAGTGTCCTTTTTTACCAAGTCATTTGATGATTTTCCCCTCACAAAAAATATACGATCCTAAGTATAGGGCTTCGAAAACCACATTCACATATTTCTTCACGCCTATCCAAGATGATTAGGGAACACTGGGAGTCAAAATGTCCTATTATCCTTCATTGTCGTTTGTCGATTAAGGGTGGAAGGGCTCTTAGATGAGAACAATTTTGTTTGTTTAGTAAGTACATCATCATTTTCAAAGATGTACTTTTAAAAAAAGATCTCAAGTAGACAGTTAATCAGTTTTTTTTATATTGAGTGAACAAAGTCTTCCGAGTACTTTTCTTGCATTGGGTTGAGAAAAAGACTGTCAGACTTTTCCTGATTAAAAATTGGCCCATCCCTTTCCTTTCGCAGAGCCCTCGCTATGCTTGTTTCCTCCATTATTAGTTCATAATATGAACTTCATCATACTATATGTATGTTGCTTGGTCTACACTAACGGGAAATGCCATTAATTATCGCAATAATAGACGTTAATCGTACGTGTTATTTGAAAACTAAAAAAATTATTTAAGGTTAATTTTTCATTGTTTAATATCATCAATTATCGCGATAATTATTGGCAAAGCCCGTAGTGTGGTTCAAGCATTACTAATTTGGGACTGTGCCATGTGTAAGGCAAAGTATTTGAAAGATCGTTGACCTCTAGTAATTAGACACAATGTCACTATAACAAAACAAAAACTAGCCTTTGTATCTTGTCTTTCAAGAGTCTTGTATTTCAGGATCTTCGATTTTAACAAATGTATCATACCAACTACTACTTCTGCTTTGTTAAAAACTATCTTGCTAAACAAAGTTTTATGACATCCACACTTCTACATTCACAGATTTTTTTTATTATTTACTTAATCTTTATGCAAAGTAAAAATGCATAGGTGCACTTAATGCTATAGGCATTCTTTCCAGTCAACCTTAGAATGTGCATCATTCTAAGATTCTTATAAATTTATAAATAGACACACTTATAATACATGAATATCGCAGCCAACTGGTTGAAATATCAGTTCAATCAATCAACTACCTAAATAGTTCTTTGATCGCATTACAACTAGCTGCTAACTAGCTGTTTAAGCAACAGTATTCTTGCGTCACCTCTATCAAAGGATGCAAGAAACTTAAATAAATTAGTTACGATAGGTTTTAGATCGTGAGGATGATTTGTTAATTCTGATGAGGGTGGCATAATCAGTTATTAATTAAACCCTCTTTAATAAAAAAGACATTAAAAAAGTAGCTGTTTATTTTTGATGTCCATATTTCTAACTACCTAACCTCCTAACATTCTGGTAAAAACTCGGTTTTCATGACAATCCCTTTACCCTTCAACTTGCATAGTGAATCCGAAATGAAGTTATTCAATCAATCGACTAGTTATTCAGGCTATGTATATTAACAGAAGTAGACAGCAGACAAATCTCGGAAACGGCTCCAACAATTTTGATGAAATATTTTATGTAGGTAAAGTTTTCGGGGACGAATAATCAATCAAGCATTTTAAGAAACAAAAATACCAACCGAAACTCAATCATCCAGGGACTATTATGTAACATTAATCGAGAAATGTTTTCTCTCAAGAGAAATGCAATGTGGCACTTAACATTATTGATTTTCCGTCCAATTATATTCAATTTAGCCACCTTGAGTCTAGCCGTTTTATATCATACAATATGAATATTGTGACGCAGGAGGTTAAAGACGTCTGCTGTACTTACTATATTGTTATGTGTCAATATTTGCAGTATGTAATCAATAAGTTATACTATGAACTGATCGAATCAGTAAGTGGCTGTGGTGGACAAAAGTCAAGAGTCAAAAATCATTTATTTCAATTAGACCCTTACAAGTACTTTTGAACGTCAAACTAAATTTTAAAGAAATAAAGTGTCATTCTGTCGGTTAGTCCTCTTAGTGAAGCTAAGGCCGGAGGTTAAAATCACTTCTCAGTACGTATTACTCGGAAAAGTACCAATGTGACTTTTTCCGAGTACTATTGTTAAGTTGATTTAGACACCAATGACAAACGGTGAACGGTGAGGAACCTACAGTAGATGATGATGATACAGTGAAGTTCGAGCAGTGATGCTCGCAAGAAAGGAGGTTGAGCGCGTCAGGGAACTATTCTCCTCACGTTCCAGTCACCGTAGGGGGAGACACGAGTCGCGGATCGCATTGCCACGTTCAATGATTAATTATCAAACACAGAAACAGCGCTTACTGACAAATCCTTTTAGATCGCGATCTCCAACCCACCTGTCGATTAAAGAGGTTATGGCAACCCCTCTTACATAGACGCGACTCAAAGACCAGCATTTGGAACTGAACTTTCATGGTTCCAACGATACAATATTCCTTAATTTAGCAATTTCTAGAAAATGCTGAATGCTATAAACACAGTTTACGAATTGAAAAGAACTAGGACAAAAACATTGCGTCGCGTCTGTTATCTACATCAATGTGTTTTCCAATTAAGTTGGAAGCCTAAAATATACAATACACAAATGGTATCAAACTGGAGAGGCTAAGTAGACCGAAGCTAAGCGGCTTATGTTGTGACGCACCGAAAATACTACGTCGATACCGTGGCTTCTGTCACGTGCTAATTAATTAGATACTTTAATTTGGAAACGTTGGGTGGAGTGAATTTGTTCCTTATTTTCCTCCTAAACCACCTACCTACCTAAAGCACCTACAGAATGACTGTAGATAAGCATGACAAAATATAGTGCTTATAGAAGTTTTGATTAACAACACAGTTTTGATTAAATAAATATTAATAAAATAAACAATGCCACGCACTTTGATTTTCCCAAGTGTTCAACTTGGGCTTGGCTCACTCACGTGACTGTTGAGCGAGAAAACTTGTCTAGTTTCAAGCCACACGGGGGCTTATATTCATGAGCAGTATTGCGCGATACACGATGCAGCGAACCTTGCAACAATCACATAACTATGTGTCTCTAGGCGATTCTAACGTGGCTTCAAACTATTAAAGTTTCCCACGAAAATGTATACTTTAAAAGCTTTGATATCCAATGGTTTCCATTATTGGCAGGGGCTAAATGCTAACAAACTACTCATAATAAGTTAAGCAATAAAATTGTTAGTATATGTCACTACATAACTCGCCTTATAACGTTCTTTGTCACATACGGCACTTTATTCTTAACGTTACTACACGCTTTCTATTTTTATCAAACAGTTAGTGTGTGCTATCACGTAATAGGATCTCATAACTACTAGTTTGCACGGAAATATTGAGCTATGAGCAGAAAAAAACTGCTTTAAATAACGGCTTTCTGCGATTTTCCGCGTTTTATGACTCATTGTGGGTCTGACCTTCGGCTGTATTCGCTTTTAGGGTTTGTTGTGATTGTTTACAATGTCAATAACCTAGACTTATGTGTCAGAGTTGACACTCAATAGAAATTCGAAGGAAATGAAAGCGTCTCGTATGATTCAGATGATCAGCGGTGACTAGTACAAAATTATTGTACTCGTTAATGAAATGGAATGAAAAGCGATTTCGCGTTTTCAAAGCATTTGCGGGGCAAGCGCAATACGGTACCGCGGCCTCGAACCTAAACAGGAGAAGGAGGTTAGTAAGAGTCTGACACTCCCTCACACCTCACCCTACGTGAAAGAATACCTACAAGCTTTTAAACTTTCGCATTTCATGTTAACAACATATTATTAAACAGGTATAAACGCGAAAAATTATTATTTAAATACCTTGGAAGGTTTGACGTTTCGACCTGGTTGCACAGGCCATGGCTTAAAAATATCTATGCGAAAGAAGTCATATATGATGATTTTCCCACCTCTTCAAAAATCGTATGTCATAAGACTCCTAAATAGGCAAGAATTTGTGTTTTATTGTTATAGTAGGACGATCGATAACCTTTAATAGCTGTTCCAATCACTATAGCCGCTACAGACGATATCGTCGTTGTCAATTACGATGTAAGATAATAGAATAATTGTGATAGATTTACTTACAAGTTTTTTTTTTAGAAAAATAATTTGTATCGTGACCAATCCTGACAGATTACTTAACCTAGGTATTGAGTAACCATTGCAAGTTTTACTAACGTACCTACGTATTTTAATTTATGGAAATAATTTTATTTCTTAAATACCATTGAATGACTCTGAGTGTGGCGGTAAGGTAATTACGTTGGGTAATTACAATAAAATAGTGGTTTGTTATTTTCTAACTGAAGAAGTTTTATTTTTCATATCCTGTCGCAAATTCTCATCTTCTAATCCAATCATATCATTGAGATTTCTGTGTAGGATGTATAGGTACTTGACTTTTCTTATAATATTATAGAGAACTACAATAAACAAATGTTCATTTACAAACATGTACCTACTACAAAAACAATATTAACAAACTCGTAAGTACCTAGTAAAAAAGTATTTTGAGAACTCCGATCAATAAGTAATCTTGTAATTTATAATTAATTAAGTAACTGTTCAGCTGTTTAATTTCCCAGCCACTTTCTGCCCTTCATAAAAGTCATGGCCACTCTAATAACAACGCATTGTGAATCTACGTCATACGTTGACCCGAAACATTTAATTTCTTTAACAGGTAGGTGACTTGTTTTATGTATGATTGCGATATAACATCAAAATTGTACCAATAAAACACTACAACATCAAGAACCGAAGGCCCATTCTTTCCCCTAGACCAATCCCAAAATCTCCAAATCCCTAATCCCCAAAAGGTCGGTAACGCACTCGTAACTCCACCGTTGTTGCTGATGTCCATGGGCGGCGCTGATTGCTTATCAACAGGTAATAGGTCTAAATGTTTGCCGTCCTATCACATACCTAAAAATCCTATGAAAGCACATTGCAGCTGGAATAGGAGTCTTACCTACATAAGAGGCTTTACCAGAATCTCCAACCTTATCAAGGAGGTCCCAGTTTAAATGGTTCAAGTTTATTGAAGAACTATGATGTCTCAGTCTTTGTCAATTGTGTAGCTTTTCGGTCGGCACTTGGGTCACACGTCAGAAAAGTAGGAATGGTAGAAAGTGATATATGTATAATATATATAGCTCAATACTGATATGTTTCACATTACTTTTTAAAGAATATAATAAGGAGTATCTGGCAAGTACAAATGTGACTCTTCAGAGTTATATATACTATGATTATTTAGACACCACAGTCACTGACATATGGTGAATGAAAACATGAACATCGTGAGAAAACCTGGCCTTATAATTTCTCTCTTGAGCAAGGGTGGTGGTTAATTCTCAAACCTTCTCCGTGTGAGAACAGCGCTTTGCTCAAAAGTGGGCACATATAGGCTGATGATGAAGGAGTGTACACCACTGAGGCTAGTCCTCTATACCGTGACTAATGGGAAAGGTCCCATGATATTTGAATGAGTTTATTCATATCTACAATGCATGTCTAGACAAATTATAATAAAAGGTTTTCGCTATTACAATTTCAGATATTTGACAAGCTTTGTGTAAATACTAAGCATGTCATTCACGATTATCTAAATAAGTAGGTACATTTTATACCTTTAAAGTTTTTTTTATGTGATAATACGGCTAAATCCACCCGTACCAATGGAAGAGTAACGAGTGCGTTGCCGAACTTTTGAGAATTAGGGTTTCGGAGATTTTGAGTTTGGGTGCCACGAAGGATTAGGCCTCCGATAACCTCACTCACACACAATGCTGTGGCGCACACGCCGGTTTTCTGTGAGACCGTGGTATCACTCTGGTCGAGCCGACCTATACTTGCCAAAGCAAGCATTTTTTTAACTTATTGAGATATTTTCAGTGTTCAAATATTACTCAGTCTAAGATCAGCTCACCCCCTAATACATGGGAAATAAAAACTATATGTATATATGCGGTTATTGAAGTCGTGATATGATGAGTCTTCAACAAATTTTGTCGAAATTATGTCAAATCCATTTATTGACTTTTCTATTCACGGGTCGATTAGTCCCCTATTGTCATTTGGCTCATGCACGGTGTAGACACCAACTAATATTGATGATGACATCAAAAACAATGAAAATACACGTGACAGCGTCCATTTGATACAGTTTTCAGCTTTAGTACTTCGCCTTAAGGTTGAAAATGAATCGATAGCCAAACTTGTTAACGTTGATAGGATCATATTCTATTCTAGACTTTGTTAGCTGTCGGATAGTCTGTAGTTATGGTAGCATATTTACGTATTTAAAACAATAATACTCAGGATCATGACCGATGCTAAATGTCAACATAATATGAAATATATTATTAGGTGTATAATGATTTTAATTTAGAAAGATTGGTTAACTCTTCGTTATTTGAATCCTTAGTTATTTTCTTAAAAAAGAAACAAAAATTTTGTTTTTGTTTCTTTAAAACTTGAAAAGATTCAAAAGTCATTACTTAGTTGATGAAAGTAAATTGGAAATTCACTTATTTATTTATTTATGTACAAACGTAAATAAATAAATTTGATGTGTGATTGAATTCTTTTATAATATACCTATGTACTCGATTTAAAAAATATATAAAAGTAGGTAATATTTAATAAAATATTTAAATTTGGAAACCTAAAATAGGTACCTACACATTTTCTGCTTAACGTACTTCAGAACTCACAACACACTTTTCTCGCAGTCCCAGCTCCCATATATAAGAGTAGTTACCCTAAAGTACATTTAAGTACGATATCCCTAACTCCTGCGATGTACCTAAAATAACGTAATGTACCATGAAAAATGAGATTTGTACCACTCCAAGCCGTTCCATATTTTCTCGGCATATTACCCTCAGTACAATAGGGATACGAAAAAAAAGACAAATGACAACATTTCTCATTTTGGAGAGTTGACATTAAAAGTCCCTCATTTCGCTTACAAATTAAAGATGTCGCTAAAAAAAATATCACCGAAAAATGTGACACTCGAGTTGAGATATGTTTTCTGAAATTATTTTTATTTTTTTATATTTCGGCTCGAGGAAAATATTATTTAGTATTTATTTTTTATTTTAAATCACGTCCATTATTGTCGTAATCTTTCTTTGTAGGTACAATTTTATATAATAATATTACAAGTTAACATTTTATTTCTCTCTTGGATTCGGATCGGATTAGATGCAGATTCTCACATTTATTTGAATATTTGGTAGACAACAAACTGCAATTTCCAAATTGTGAATAAATCAATGTTGTACCGCGGCTCGCCCAACAGAGTCATTGAATGCTTTTTCAACCATAAAACGCAACAATCTATTAGTTAAAATATCATCAAAGCTTCATTTTACTAATTGTATTTTGTTTATTTTTTCAGAGTTTTCAAACGCTTCAGGGAGGTGAATCCAACATTAGTACCAAAAAGGATGACAGAGAATCAACCACATACCATAGTAGTCCCATTAGAAGAAATAGAAAAGTTGCCTGAATTAAAAGTAAGTCATATAATAATATAATACATCATCACATCATCTAGAATAGAATAGATAGAAAAGGGTGGGAAAGCCAGGCTTTGACACGAATGGTCTAGCTCGACCGGCGTGATACCACAACCTCAGAGAATACTGGCGTGTAATAAGACTTAAGTTGTATTTGCGGGCTCACGTAAATCATCGCGGGCCGGTTCGTAAAAGAAAAAAGAACCTTTGGAAGAAGTAAGATTCTGACACTCCTTTCCGTCCCATCCAGGACCAAAGAAGTCCTTGGATGGTTTTCCACCACAAAAAAATGGTTGCCAGACCAAGTTCTCGGTTTTACTGGGTTGTTTACTTTGGGGGTTTCTTCTGTAATAATATCGATATATTGTATCTTCACTATAAATATAGGTTAATTATAAACAAAGTTACATAACGAATTACACAATTATTGAAATTAAAGATCTGTTTCCCTAACCAGAATCCGTGGGCTGATAAAATCCAATTGCTGGCTGGTAGGTTAATCTAATAGCTAATTGGATCAGATTAGCACAGTATCACTTTCTGCGAATTAAAGTAAACGTGAGCTATTAGGCCGTGAAGGAGTGGTCAGGAAGCCTAGCGATTACTGTTACAGAAAACGTGCGGCTATCGCGTAATTAGAATCATTAAATCACAATTTTGTGTAATGGACGCCTTAAAACAAAAATAACCCAACAATTTATTGACAATATTATTTTGAACAATGACAAAAAAGTAAAAAAAATGGAACGCTAATTTGAATACTTTGTTTTTTTTTTTCTATGGAGGTTTGAGTAAAAAGTTTGAACTTTCAACGTTCGTTACGCAATTTTTCTTCTTTTCGCCAAGTGCTACACAGTAACTTTTTAATGCTATACCATAACTTATAACGACCTTAAATACGAAATGCAAAATTTCAGCCTACCACAGAAAAAATACAAATATTTGTTCTGAATTTATCAGTATTGAGAGAAAAAGTTTTTCTTAAACCTCAGCCCCGGGAAAAGACAAATCTTGACGTTTGTAAAAGTTAGTTTAAAATTTATTGATAAATTGCCACGATTTCATTTTCCAAAGAGTTTGTTCTTGTAAGCAGAAGTTGAGGTTTGGAGTGCCTACAATTTTTATGCTATTTTTTTCTAAATATAAATAACGTCTTCCCTCCATTCTTTAAAAAGGTTGTTTGACATTACTGCCACTGCACTGCTGTTTGGCAGTCATGCGGTCGAAGTTTAAGATTTTTTGCAATTGATTTTAAACAAAATGACTATTTACTATAAAAATTTTAAAAAAATATGATATTCCGTTTACAGGAGAATCCATTCAAACGTCGAATATGCCAAGTGTTCTCACACGATGGTTCCGGCAACCTAACGTTTGAAGACTTCTTGGACATGATGTCGGTCTTCAGTGAAGCTGCACCTAGAGATGTAAAAGCATGGTAAGATATGCATACTTGTTAGCTAAGACTTAAAAAATGTAAAAACAAATAATTAAACAACTCACTATACCTAGTAGGTACTTCATGGGAATGTGTATACAAATGAAACACAGGAATGTATGCTGCGCTGTTAAAACAAATATGGGTAACAGCTAGTTCGTTTCAATCGTACACTCTTGTCAGTGTGGTCGTGATCATGGTATGTCCTTGGTTGTTAGTGGCATTTCTCGCGCTGTCGCGCACTCCACTATTGAGCTGGATGTCTCTGATTCTATAAGGTCCGTCCGTCTAGTTAGAGGCCGACCACGAACAGCTTGTTATTATCCACTAAAAAACTTCATGTAGCAAAGGACTCCAAAAAAAAAACAATATTACCGTAATTCTAATTTTCAATACGCGCCAATATGCCTAAAATATAACATAAACTGTACGAATATAAAACCATATCAATCTAAAAAACTGAGCTGATCTAAGCAGTTAGGTATCAATTAACAAGAAATAAAAAATGTTCCATACAAAATATGTTAAAAATATTACACATAACTCGAGACAAGGTAGAGTCAAATTCACCTAGATAAATGTGTATATTGCCCTTTTGACCCGTCTGCCGACTGCACGCAAGCCACGCAAATATTTCGCAATAACAACACATAAAATAAGCATTATTTTTCACCTAAATTCTATTTATATCTGCGAAATATCGTAGTTCCTTAAATAATTTCATTAAATGTAAATAAACCGATAGTATGTATGTATGATTAGTTTTTTATGGGATAGGTCGGCAAACGAGAAGGCGAATTGTAGAACTGATGGTAAGCAATCGGCGCCATACGTGGACACCCGCAACACCAAAGGGGTTATGAGTGCGTTGATGGCCTTTTGGGGATTAGGTTTTCGGATATTTAAGGATTGGGAAGGGATGGGGAGCAGTGGAGGGATTGAGCCTCCGGTAACCTCACTCATACGGAGAAACAACGCTGTGTTATTAGGTAAAAGTTATTTTATACTTTCATAATTTCTCGAGGGCTTTTTCTGGGCATCACTTGATAATAAACGATCAACGCGGCCATTAGACACCCGCAACACCAAAAAATTCAACTGCGTTGATATCGTTTTAAAAATGATTATGATACTGGATAAATTACTTTCTAACATTTTTTTATGTTTTGAACCTACGTCATTGTACCTACCTACATGTTGCTTACTTGGGCGACAACGACAATGTAAAATATTATCTACTATCAAATAACTTAGAATTAAATAAAAAAGTCAAGTTTCTATAAGAAATATATTTTATTTATTTGATACCTAACTGCTTAGCTCAGCTCAGTTTGTTAGCACTGTTTATTGATAGATATTTTTGTAACGTATGTTTGTGTAACTTGCGGTTTTGAAAATTAATACTGATTTATGGAATGTTTATTTTTAACAGACAAAACAAGTTGCAAACATAAATTTTAATAAGTTGTTCACTTGCCCCATATTTGTAACTAAGACCTAAACTATAAAGTCTAAAATTGTGGTCCCTATTTTGCTTTACACAACATAGTACCTAGGCACTATCTATTCGAAACTACAGTTTTACTAAAATTACTTTACAAATATCTACCTAATTATTTTAACTTTCAAGGTTAGAACTTAGGTCAAACATGTTTACATCGTCTGTACCCATTATTTTACATACATACATACAAAACTACGTATATTTTAATACACAATGAAAACTCACGCGAACGAATCATTAGCGTTGCGTCGAGAAAAATTTAAAGACAATTTTATTTCTAATGGATATGCTTTTTGTACTTCTTTATAAGAAAATGTCTCATGATCAATTTATTTTCAATTTAATTAAGGTATTTTCTTGTTAATTTTATATTACAAAACAGCCTAATATTTCTATACGTTTTAACCCAAGCTGAAGTAGGTACCAATTTGTATTTATGTATGTAATATAAAAACGAGTCTTGCATGTTTACTAAATCTGTAAAATAGAATGTTCTATCACATCTATAACTAATACGCTATTTATCCCTTCTATACATAACACGCCTATTACATAGTTTACAAAAACAAAACTGTGAGCTCAAGAAAGTTCTCCACAGTATCCTAGGCTTACAGCTTCTTACAATAAAAAATAACTTTCACAATTTTTCCACAGGTACGCATTCCGCATCTACGATTTAGATGATGATATGTACATAGGACGGGACGACCTCCTCGAAGCTACTAGACTCCTCACGAAAGGAGAACTTCATCCTCAAGAGAGAGAGGAGATTGTCGCCAGCGTGTTGGATGAAGCTGATGTGGATGGAGACGGGAGGCTATCCTTCATGGATTTTGAACACGTCGTTGTACGCGCCCCAGATTTCCTCTCCACCTTCCACATCAGAGTTTAAATCAAATAAAAAAATCCCTAATACGGCCCTGTAGTTTATTTTATGAATTATTTATTACTCGAGTAATCTTTTCCTTTTTTTTTTGTTTTTCCCTCATAAATAAATATTAAGGTGTTAGGCTTGTTATGGAGTTTGAAATAAACTTGTGTTTGTGAGATTGTTTTTTGCAATTTTCAAAGATGAAGTAAGAAAGTGTAGAATTGTGTGTCTACCTACGCAATGACGCAATATGCGTCATTTTTAAAAACAGAAAGGCAAAGATCTATATTTGAGTTCAGATATTGTTCTTTTGATTCTTGGTTTAGTTGAGCATTTAATTATTTTGAGGACATATTTTATAAAGTTCATAATATTCAATTTTCATATTGTTGACTGCGTAATCATACTGTTATGACTAAAAACGTAACTTTTTAGAAAATGGGTATGTGTTCGATCTCAGCTCTAGGCGAAATTATGATGTGGTTGTTGATTTAAAAGTCACGGAGTCACCTGAAATAATATCATGAAACCGTAAAAACGACTTAATAAATTAACTATATCTAAGTGTACATATGTACCTATATGGTTCGACGGTCGCCAATCGATAACATATTTGTTATGCCAATTATATTTATCAATAAATAAACAATAATTAGTCGTTGTACTGTTATACTGAAATAAATTTCTTTATAAATAGAATTATAAGGCCTATACTCTTGTTGTGGTGAGGTTAAGCTCCAAGCAAGGTTAAGGCGCTCGAATCTCAAACGTGGAGGTTCAAAACTTGGAGAAAGAGTAGATTCATCATAATAAACTTTCTTTCTAAGATTGTGTAGATATTTCTGACATACGGTGAAGGAAAACATCGTAAGTAAACCTGGACTAATTAAAAGTTTGCAATCCGCCTTGGGCAAGCGTCGTGATTAATGTTAAAATCATGATTGTGAGAAGACGCCTTTACTCAGCAAGTTCACAGACGTGTATACGCAAATTGTGTTCCTTGAATTAGGTATCTATCTGCATCTTTAGCAAGATAATATCGTTACGGTTAAGTACCTACGATATGTATGTAAGTTTTCGTAAATACAATTTGCAGAATCTGCATGGCACTTTCACATAGGTACTTGCTGACACTTTTAAAAAAGAAAATTCGCTATGTTCGCTACCTGTCGTCTGCCGGTGCCGAGATACAATGGAAAACACATTGTGTCTCGCGTAGATCTGCGTTCCACGTTATCGATACCACGGGTTAATATTTTTATTTTGACATTTGAATTTTGAAGGATAAATTATTCCAAAGGATTAAACAAATAATTATATTATACAAAGGATTTCAAACGTATACTTAATTAAACATTATAAAGTTCAGGTTTCCTCACGGTTTTTTGCTTCACAGTTAGTCTGTAGTGTCTAAATAATCATATAAAGTACTAATATTTAATTCCGAAAATCGTATTGGTATTTGATAAGTACAAAACGTACTTATCAAATAGAAAGCGTTTAACTACTAACTCGGCTGGTGGAAGACGATCTTGTGCCCGACGATGGAGAGCCCCAAACCAAACTATTCACTCGAGACTTAAAGACACCCAAGATACCTATATAATTGGATAGTTCCCTAGGTCAAAAATAAATTAATTTGACGTTTTAATACAAAAAAATATTTAAAAACAACTACACTATTATTCATCTATCGAGCGATACACTAAGTTTTAGATATTTTTTAGATAATTATTACGAAATAAGTAAACTATTTGACGCAAAGAAACTATGACGTCATAACTCAGTTTTTCATACAAATTTCATAGAAAAGTATCATTTTTGACATTTGGATAAAAGTATTGAATTTGACTAGTTGGAAACTACCGTATTCAGGGATCCGTAGGTATAAATGTGTACAATCAGAAGATACGATGTGACACAAAATATAACCCAATACTTCACAATGGGATACAAATATTACCTACAGCAAAAAACTTACTGCACATTCTTTTGACTGCACGGTTGGTGCGGTGGCTGGGCAACTGGCTGCCGTGTGACGTATCCCGGGTTCGATTCCCGCACGGAACAACTCTTTGTGTGACCCACAAATTGTTGTTCCGGGTCTGGGTGTCATTTGCATGTGAAATTGTATGTTTGTAACTGCATCCACGACAAAGGAGAAAACCCTAGTGCGGGGCAATGTTTAAAAAAATGTCTAATTCGGTGACAAAGCCATACCAACCTAATATAATATTTTAATTAAAAAGTCAAGAAAAATCACAGAAAATGAATTAAGGCGGCCGGTGGTATTTCTAAAACCACGTCAGTTCTACATTTAGCAATATAGTTTTATGGGGGTAAACGAGCTGACGGATCAACTGATGGTAAATGATCAACGGCGCGCATGGGCACCCGCAATACCAGAGGAATAATAGGCGCGTGGCCAACTTTATAGATGGAGATATGGAGTAGGTACACTCGTCCCTGAAGTTTCAAGATATTAGTATTGGTTCAAAAATACAACCACTGAAAGATCATTCCAAAGTTTTTTAAAATCGGTACTTATTTATTTTTATCTCAATTTTCAGAACACTGTTTTATAAAATACAAAAATAACTTTAAAAAGATAACAGCATAAAACTGTTAATGAATCCTAATCAATTCTATTTAAAACAGTTTTCCTTAACAACAAAAGAATAAATAACAAAACAAACACAAAATAAAATACAAAAAGCAAAAAGTTAGCTCCGCCGCGACAGTGCATCACTGCCGTGACCAGGATTCGAACCTGGGTTACTACGGCCACAACGTAGGGTCCTAACCACTAGACGATCACGGCTATCGGAGCAGGTACCTGCAAGAGCGAAATAAGTCTCCGCTTTATATTTGCTTTCATTCACACAACTATTTCTTTCTTTTTCACTCGTAAACAGTTCTTATTGACAAAAATAAACAACGATAAATAATGGCGTTGTAATCGGTTTTGGTCGAACAAAGTTATCGTTGTCATTTTGTTATCAGAATTTGTTGTAAGTAGGTAGGTATTTGGTTTGAACTGATTCGAAATTTAAACATTTAAGTATGATTCGAGAATGACGTCACGTTTTAAAAATAATAAATGGACCAATGTTTTAGCACAGTATAAATATCATACAGTATTGTAACTCGGCCGCTTGAAAGAAATAAATACCTACAGCCGCGCGGTACGTAAACATGCGTTAGGGCTGCTCGTCTCCAGTGTTTTAATTACCTTTGTCTACTTTCTGTTTCCATTTAGTTTTGTGATTGTAAATATCCATTTTTATATAAACAAATAAAGTGCTTTAAAAATAAACAAACAAAATTTCTTTGGCCACTAATGCCGAACTGAACAGCTGACTACGAATGTTCTAAAATCACAACCCTCAAACATCAAAATATTACATGAGTCTAGCTGTTTTATTGTTGTTATTAAATATTTTCTAGTATTATCCATAAACGCAGATAATAAACAAATATTATTAATAATAAAATACCACACTCTTTACTTTGAATTATACAAACTAACAAAACATACATGAACCGTTTTAACACAAGCGTAAGTAGGTAGGTACCTAACGTATCATGATTCATTCAGAACCAGAACCGCCTATAACTACCTATTTCACTCGTCTCAATAACTTTATTCATATTATTTATAAATTCAAACATCTGTTTTCGTGAGATAACTGGAAATAATGATCCATAAAGACACACATTATGTACCTACCTAGGCTACTAGTAAGTAAAATTATTTTATAGTCTTACCTTTCAGAGTTTCCAGGTAATTTAAAAAAAACTTATGTCTGGATGCGTTATTGACGAATTCATGCAACCAAACATAATAACAGCACAATATTTCCTATTTGTCATATTAAATAATGTACTCGAGCTGATTTCTAAATAAAAGACAACACACCGTCCGTTCGTCACTGCGGTACAGCCGCGTCTGTCTGCGTCCCGAGCGCGTCCCGACATCGGGCGCGTAGGTATAGTTCGCGTTTCGGCCGTTTCTATGAAGTTGAAATACTTGTAGATATTATTACCTTGGTTTTAGTTTTTCAAATGTTTCGTAGCGTAAACTATTTAGCCAATTAAAAAAAACTTTCATTGTTCGCAAGCTCCCTTATTTCCGATGAGCATACCTAAGCTATAAACTACAATACCGTCAACGTATCTTGGCAAGTCTGAAGTTAGCCGATTAACTGCGCAGTACACAAGTACCTATGTTCCTAAAAGATCCGTTGTGCAGACAAACGGCTAACTTCAGACTCGCCAAGATACGTCGGCCGTACTGTAGGTATGTAGGTGGACAGACACAGCTATTCTAAACGATGTTTGTAATATACTTAATAAAGCTTAGGACCTGTTTCATTATCTTCATTTTCCCAATAAACTCATGTAGCACATAGTATGGTCTATATTCAAATGTATCCAATACAAAGTAGATACCTATTATGGTAGATATAGCAAACTTCATGTATTAAAATAAGGGTTATTTTATTTAAAGACACACATCTCATTTGTTTTTCGCCCTACTCGTTTACTCGTTTAATCTCAGCAACTGCTAGTTCTAATTGGAAAAATATTTTTGTGTTGTATAGCCTATTTATCAAGCAAAGCTATGTTCTATAAAACATCTCTCTAACGCCCAGTAGGAAATGTGCAGCGGGTAAAATCCGCGAGCTGGGTGCTGCTTGAATATTTAATGCATCTTTCAGCCATAAGCTTTATTGAGTTTTAATAAAAAAAACTCAAGTGGTCAAACTCCAGTCATTTTAGACGTTCATACGTAAAATAACACCAAAAGCCATAAACCATCCAATCTATTTTAACCCACATAGGGTTCAATTAATGAATACGGAACCTCCTTATAGCCTTATAGTTTCCAGGTAAATTGGTTCTGTACCTCATCAGGCCGTCAATCACACGTGGACGACACATGATTGCCTATTACTGGCCCATAATACGAAATGTGTTACTGACAGACATTCAAACCACATAAGCGTATTATTGGGACACCCTTTATGTTAATACTAAGCCAAGCTTTTGTAGTTAAATTAGCTGTCGCTGATAGATGAAAGGAGAATAGGAGAATGGAGAATTGATCGAGTTGTTATTGACCACATAGTGTAAAACAAAGTCGCTTTCTCTGTCCCTACAGTAAAGTCAAGTCAAAATCATTAATATTTCAATTAAACCCATACACGCACTTTTGAACGTCAAACGTATACGTACGTAACGTTTATCTTTATGTAGGTATGCTTAAATCTTTAAAACTATGCAACGGATTTTGATGCGGTTGTTTTTCATAGATTTAGTAATTAAAGGTTTATATGTATAATGACATCCATTAAATAGTGGAGAAATTTAGTATCAGCATTGCATCCGGACGAAGCCGGGGCGGATTGATAGAATTCTATATTACCTACGTTGTAAGTAACTATAACGAATATTACACAAATATTAAAAAGGAGAAGACAAGTAGGTACCTACCTACTTACGTTAGAATTGCGTTCGTAAATATTAGGTATCCAAGAATCCATAGACGGTGGCGACAGATTCAATTTAATCACAAAAACAGCGAATACCTATTAGGAAAAGTAGGTATGTAGGTAGTTACCTACAAAACAAATTTTCCAAACTAAGTTATCCCGTCAAAATCAATTATTAAAATTCTTGTTGATAAACTCGAAGGTGCTGGAACGTGTAAACATTGAAAGAAAATTTTAGACAGCTTCGCCGTCACGCGTTTTCGGATGAAACTTTATTTATATAATATTGTTGTTAACAATTTCTTAATTAAAGTAAAAAGTTCTATCCATGTCACGCATACTTTTACGCAAGTTAAGTATGTTATACTTAGGTACTCGTGTTATTAGTTTAAAAAGTTATCAAGATCAGAGGGCCTACAACGACGTGTTAAAGCGTCAATGAAAGAGCGTCAAAGAAAGAGAAGAGAGAAGATTCACGCTTTTTCACGTTGCCTACAGAAAAAGAAATAGTGTGAGTTTAGATAGTACCTACGTAATCTCACTCTCAATTTTTTTCTCTCTCTTGCACCCAGAGCAAGAGATTTCATTTGATAAAGTTTCTGACTCAAAAGTAATCATTAAAAATGCCAACAAAGACCATGGTACACTACATTAACTACAGCATAAGAATAGCCTGTCATTGTACATTACAAAATCCACACTATTTGCCTAACATGGAAAGCCAAAAGCTAAGAACGAAAAAACTAGTACTAAAAAAATGATTTGTGATACCTAAGTGAATATTTTTCATCGAATAGGTATTTATAATAAGAAAATACGAGTCAGAGCGGAACACAGCTGTCGAGGAATATGAAAAGGTGAGGTCGCAAAAAATGAAACTATATTTTTTTCCCTTTACATTTTTCCTGTTCCGCTTGAAAAGAATTGAGTGATTTTGCTCACTCTTTATCTCGATGTTTTATATGTGTCGAACATGATATTGTTATAGGTCGAAGTAGGGGTATCTATATAAGCCAGCTACTTTTTTATAGTAGCAATTTAAGTGTGGAAGCCCTAAGCCTTAACGAAGTATGGAAGAGCCACGAATGACGAATGGGACGGCTCGATCGGAGTGATACCACGGCCTCGTAGAAATCTGGCATGAAACAATAACGTTGTCTTTCGCCGTGTGGTTACCGGAGGTCCCATTCCCCAATCCCTCCCCAATTTTCAAAATCTTAATTCGCAAAAGGACGGCGACGTAGGTAGGCACTCGCTACTCCTCCATTATTGCGGGTGCCGCCCATGGGGCGGCGCTGATTGTTTATCAGGTAATCCGCATACTCTTTTGCCGATCTATGACATAAAAAAAGAATTAAAACAATAACATGAACCGAACATGTGTTTTTTGCCACGTCTACGGTCACTCATTGCGTGTGTTCAGACGATTAACTATATAGTTCCTAATATTGCTATTCAGCGCCATCTACTAGATACTGTATAAACTATTTACAACGTTCTTGTCAAAAATAAAACCGAGTATATATCAGCTAAATTCAATCATTTAACATTCTCATAAGTGTTTAAAGAGCAAGTAAAGAGTTGCTTTAATTTGTATAATTCCACTGACCTTCGTAACAAAAAAAAAACAAAATTCAATTACAAAAAAATATGTAATCTTTATTTATACAATTAGTTTTATTGGTTACGACCATTTTGAAAACCGGTAATTTCCAGTTCAGTACAAAAATAACTTGAAACGCATCCTTTTCTATATTGCACGTGTTCTCTTTGGTACAAAAGTCTATTTAGTCTATGTTTTAAAAATTGAAGTACCTTCGCTTTTGTAGTCGCGTTTTTAGCAATATCATGGCTAAAATGCTGTTGTAATTCGTTAATTCTGAAGACGTGCCTGGATAATCGTCAAGAACACATAGTGTGAAAAGACAATTAGATATTTTGTACAATTATATGATTACTTGCTTTCATTTGACAAATTGCGCTAGACCGCATATTTAAAATGGCAGCCCTACCACGTAGAATAATCAAAGAGACACAGCGATTGATGCAAGAGCCGGTGCCGGGAATCAGCGCGGTGCCAAGCGAAACGAATGCACGTTATTTCCACGTTATCGTCACTGGTCCAGAAGACTCGCCGTTCGAAGGAGGACTATTTAAATTAGAGTTATTTCTGCCAGAGGATTATCCTATGTCAGCGCCTAAGGTTAGGTTTATAACGAAAATATACCATCCGAACATAGATCGGCTGGGTCGTATATGCTTGGACATATTGAAGGACAAGTGGAGTCCTGCACTGCAGATTCGCACGGTGCTGCTCTCGATCCAGGCGCTACTGTCAGCACCGAACCCTGATGATCCGCTGGCCAACGACGTGGCTGAGCTGTGGAAGGTGAACGAAAGCGAAGCTATCCGGAACGCGAAGGAGTGGACGCGGAGATACGCCATGGACAACTGAATAGTGCCGCCCAGCACTCACTCACCAGTGCCTCCCCGACGCGCGCCACACGAGGACGGAACTAACATATATCATGATTTAAGAGTGCAAGTTATGTTACACACCCTAGACCGAGTAACTTGTGAAGAGACAATTGTGGATAAATTTTATTATAGGTGAGCGGCACTGCGGCGCTGCGGGCGCTCATCGCTCAGGTTATCCTCCTGCATTTCGTAGCCTCGCCCCTATTTGTCTCGGAGCGGTCCGACAGTCCCACAGGTCATTGTTTACCCGTTCACATGTAGCTTCGTTACAATATTAGGTATGCATATTTTTTTACTATCATTATAATAGCTAATAAAAGAATACCTGGAGACTTAAATGTATATATTTCATGGTTACAAATTTGGTTAATTTTATACAATGGATAGTGTTTACTGTCACAAAGTTGAATATCTTTGTAAGAGTGTTATGGAACACCAACTCTTGAGTGCAAAATGTTATGCTTAATAAAATGATTATATCAGTTATCTGATCACTAGTGATATTGAAGTTTAATTTAATTCTTTTTCTACATAGCAGAAGTGAATGCATTAGATGATTTAATTTTACACTTAATAAGCAAAGCGGCATGATTTCACTGGATCTTTTGTGTACCGTTTACATCTTGTATAAAAATTATCATTAAATTGTATTTATGTATATTTAATTTGGCTTTGTGAGAAAACTTCAAAATACATAATATACAAAAGCTAAACCAATATTTTATTTTCAACTTCATTCAATTGATTTGAAATAAATATTTATTTTAGGTTATGTTTTCATTGATCTATTAGAGTTTGTTTTGCCTTATATAAATTTTATTACAAATAATGTTTTCCTTATAGTGTACAAGTGAGCACTACTGACATTTCCTCCTGGGGAAATACATATTTATTTACTATCAAAACAGATTCTTGGCACAAACAATGAATACTCAGAGTACCTAAATAACTGTGGTTTCCAGGAACAACACTGCAGCTTCCAACTAAATTAAGACTATCCAATCCAACATTCTATTTGGATAATTATTTTTTAGTCAATAACTTTAGTCTTATAAGACAATTAAATCAATAAATTAATTGATGTCCTTAAAATCTTATTTCTAAAGTGTCTTGTTTACGGGCTTATTGAAATTTAGAATTAGCTGTTACAAAACTAATAAACATGAAGTGCATTTCAGTTTTTAAAAAATCACATCATCAATCATGTCACCCCGCATTACTCATGTTAAATTAATGCAATACGAAAAGATTAATTGACTTTGAACAGAGCAACTCAATCCTTAAACATTTTTTTATGTAAATAACAATAGATTCTATGTTGCAATATTGTTGACAGTTTTACAAATCAGTCGGTAACTTATACATTAGCCAAGGTCACAATCAAGCTTATAAAAAAAGTAGAAATACAATAAAATATAAACGTTTGCAGATAATAGAAAATAGTTCTTTGTTTATTTTTGTTATCTGTTATCTCTGATATTTTTATCTGTAAAATTGTTTATTGTTTTGAAACTGCACACCTGATGGTAGGTCAATGTGAATGCATCTTTAGTTCCTGCTAAACAATGCCTTTGTTAAAAATTGTAAGTAGATAATAAAAAAGTATTCATTTGCATAATTAATAACATTTTTATATCTTTCCTTTGTTTGCTTAGATTAAGTATAAGGGTTTATGGTGTGCAATTATTCATAATGAAATGACTTTTTGCTTTTATTTTTGAACTTTGAAAAAGTTAATAAAAATATAATGATTGATTAAAGTAAATTTAACTGTGACCATATTATAAGGAATGTTTCAGATATAAAGATTTCAAGATTTCTATTACAGCACAGTCTTAAAATATGCTTCTCTATCATCCCAATTAAAATAAATATAATAATTGATGTACATACTGGGATATTAAATATCTTCCATCTAAATGGGAAGACATCCTAGCATTCTTATATGTATAGCTTTCCCGGCTTAGGCTGCAAGGGAGGCCCAAGCTGATAACAACAGCTACAAAACATATAGCTGGTATGATGATAATGATGAGAACTTTCTCAATATTGGTATCCATGGGATCTCCCCCTTTATTTAATGCCAGAAAATGTTTACCCCCTTATCTAAATGTTAAATAGATATAGTGACTTACGATATACCTATTAACTAGGGTTGACACAAAAACAGTACACTAATAAATACCATAGTAATAACCGCAATTTATTTTGGTAGTAAATCTGATTGACACAATTATTTATAATTTTGTTTTATAGGATAGGGCGGCAGTCGAGCTGATGGCTGGTAAGCAATCGGCGCCGATATGGCCCTGGATATGGACACCCGCAAAACATAAGGAGTTACAATTGCATTACCTACCAGACTTTTGTACATTGTTATAGGGAGGATTGGGCTTCCAGTAGGTACCCACCAAGCGAAACACGCCGGTATCGGTATTCCAGTCGAGCCGGCCCATTCCTACCAAAGCATGACTCTCCCGCATTTAACAGATATGACACACTTCCTGCAGCCCCAGAACAACAACGAATATTTAGCAAATTGCAGACTAATTTGCCACAACTTGTAACCCATGCCAGCAGCAGTAGCATCTGATTATCAGCCAGGGTTCGAACTTAGACACCAGTCAAAAATAGTTAAAACCTTGAAAATCCAACCCGTCGTTTTCTAGTGTAACTAAAACCACTGCTTATCATCAACTAATAGAGAAGAGGTCGGCAGCGCACTCGTAGCTCCTGTTGTTGCTTATCATCAGGAAATCAAAGTGCTCATTTGCCATCCTATGATTTAAAAAAATCCCTTGATCTCACATGAAAAAAGTGCCTGCTTTTATTAAAATGCGACTGTAACAGTCAATGAAGGCCCGAAGAAATTTCGAATTTCAGTGTGGAAAACCCACGCTTCGGCACGCGGTCCGACTACCACGAGATACCACGCAGCCTCACAGAAAATCAGCGTGACGACCACAGCGTTGTTGGTTCCCCACTTTGTAAAGATAAATACTTATCAATACCTAAGGAACTTCTAAAAACAAATGCCTAACAAAAACTGAAATTTTTAAATTTAAAGCATTTAAGCGCCATCTTGTATTTGACAGCGGGACAACCGCTCCGTTTGCCGTATGAGCGGGTCGGCCCTGCCGAGTTGTTCACAGTCATTGGCAAGCGAGCTCTTGCTATTGCTATTGGATGACATTTCATATTGTGACCCCAATAAGGTCAATGTGCTAAATGTTATTCCTAACTACCAACTGATATAATATGACTAACTAAGTTTTATGTGTGAGTAATAATATTTCTCTATAATTTAAGTTCAGTTTAACGGTGCGTGGGTTAGGGTTAGTCGCCTTTATTTTGTCGAATCTCTTGACTTACCATACCTACAAGTCCTTTACCCGACGGGTTTGAAATGGCAAGGACTGGGCCTCGGTAGCCCACATGGCGAATATATTGGCTGACAGAGTAGATAGGTACTTATTTGTAGCGATTAATGAAAAGATATGGGCCAGGGGCTCAGTAGGTCTGTACATAGTTGTCTAAAAAACAAAATTCTTTGTAGAAAAACATTTGCTAAACTTTTTTTAAACTCCCATAGGCAGCTGACGGCGGCATTCGGTATCTCTGACAACATGAGAAACACAGGTTTCATCAGCTGGGGTTACGGGGCAAGAGTAATAAGGCACGAGAGTCTCGGCCTGGAGCAGGAAAACGTTCAGGTTTTAAGTGTGGGATAGCCAAGCTTCGGCACGAATGGGTCGGCTCGACCGGAGTGATACCAGGGCCTCGCAGAAAACCGGCGTTAGACAACCACAGCGTTGTGTTTCGCCGTGTGAGTGAGGTTACCGAAGGCCCAATCCTTCCCCTCCCCCAATGCCTAAATCTCCAAAACCCTAATCCCTAAAAGGTCGGCAACGCACTCGTAACTCCTCCATTGCGGGTGTCCATGGGCGGCGCTGATTGCTTAGGTACCATCAGGTAATCCGTCTGCTCGTTTGCCGACCTATTACATAAAAAAAGGTACCTACGGGGGGTTTATGTCAGTAAGAGTCACACTGCCTCTCGCCTCACCCTTGGCGGGAGAAGTCATTTGACGATTTTCTCTCTACAAAAAAAGGTTGCTTCTATTAGTGAGGGTTCCTGCTACGCACCTACTTAGTTTTCCACTTACATGAGAGAGTGTAGCCAAGTAGAGAGGTAGTCACTCAGCCACCATCTTGCTCATCGAATTTTATGTTTGATGGACAGGGTTGGAATGACCTTGACTAAAGTTGTTCCCGTGGAACCTCCAAAGACAAATTGTATAAATGTAGGTACACCCTGCCACTACACTCACGTGTTTTGAGCGGGCAGTGAAGGACCTCGTGGCAGCAATGTACCTACGAAGAATGCACAATACCCCGCGCAACTCCTTCCGTCTACGTGATATGGCAATGCATATGGTAAAGTGTAGGCAGTCTCGGTAGTCTAGGCACATTCTGATTCAGATAACAAGTATAAGGTGTTTTCCTTAAAGTAGTAAGGCCAGCGATAAAAGTTAAATATTCTGAATCGGTAGGTTGAAAGGCTCAAACTAATAAGGCTGAAAATAAGCAGCTTTATTAATTAGGAAGATAATAAAACAACGAAATCAGTTTGTTCAGTTTATTCTTAACTTTAATGCAGACTAGAATAATACTCTTAGAAATGAGAACAACAATAGTTATTTCACATGTTACAGTGTACCTACCATACCAGCTTTCACAATAAAAGGCTATTTATTATCTGTGTTTCTCAATGTAAATAAATCTTATTCACAACAGCTAGCAATACAAAATTACATCAGACTGTATACTTATTATATTACGTTTAGTTCACAGGGCGTGGTCAGTGTCGAGGGTCGTAGGAATAAAGAAAATTTAAAAGTTCTGGGGATATTTTGAGCGACGATGTAGTAAATAGAAAAATGGGTGGCAGACATGACCTCGATAATCTTAAGGTGCTAACATTGGTTAATTTGCCAACGTTTTCCGATCTTCATAGACACACCCACAATTTTAGGACACTGACCATAAGAGCAAATGAACCAAACACGAAAAAGAAGACATATTGAGGAGATATTAGTTCAGGGGATAAATGTACGTAATCAGAAGCGGTTTATTAAAGTGTTTATATCTAAAGTGTTTATAATTAGAACTGTTAAATTATATATATTTTTATACATAAATAAATGTTGTTTACTCGTTCTCAGAGCGCTAAGCTTAGCTAAGAACACAGGGACATACATATATAGATTACATAGCTATAGCGACACTATAAAATTTACAAAATATGATATATCTTTTGAGATGCTACACGAAATAATGCTTTTTTATTACTATATCCACTAATCAATTCTTTTTTTATTCAATTTGATCACTGTAGGTCTGTGAATGTGCTATGGCGCGGATTTTAGGATGCGTTTACTATGATAGATGCAAGTTGTCTAAAATAGGTGCCACAGCACAACTAGATCGCTCGACCTACTTATCTAAGCTATACATGTTTATTTCTGAACTGAATGGCTCGATTTGAACTATGGTGCACTTTTATATGTAAGAAATATGTTGTTGGTTAAATAATGAAACTTAACGTCGACTTGTCAGAATATACAGAGAACTAAACATTATTATAATGGAATGATTTGATTGCTAACAGGCATGAACGGTGACACAGAAATAAATAATACAACTACATGTATGTTCCCTCTCACATAATTCACCTAAACCTTATAGTTTCACACAAAAAACAATAATAAGTTAAAAACAGAAAATTTCGAGATACACGTCCAAATATTACGTAAAAAAGAATAAAACCACAAAAATCAAAACCTTATTTACCGTTACACTTAAAGTAGAACGCAATTCCTAATCAGATTTTAGGTACCTAGATAATATATAAAAAAAATATGGCAATAGACATCATGACGTATTCTTATTTCGAAAATTAATTGTCAATTTAACCACAGAAGCAAAACAACCGCGAATGTAGTTTGAATAAATTGTTAATTTAATACAAATATCTAAGCAGATATGAATGGGATTCTGATATTTTTCATAAATACATTAAAGTGGAGTATGTATACACATTGTCATGACGATCAAAGAAAAACAATATATATTTATAATTACGAGGCAAAAGTATTTCATAATGTACTTATTTTTTTACTATCTAAAGCTCTGATGTGGGTGTGATTTATAGAGCATGTTTTATTTTCGTAATTATAAATACATGGTGTTTAAATAGAGAGATAATACAACTTATATTCTATCTTATTAGCCACGAAAGCATTGTAAGCATTGAAACTCATCACATACGTTTTATTGAGTATTTTATCAGCTAAGCTTGAGTTTGGCCCTATCCTCGCTATAAAATTATACTTTTTCTTGTATTTTATTGTACCTTTTTGCTGGTACTTTTTTAATATGTACTTTTTATAAAGAAATAATATGTTAGTGTTTACATTATTATAACGTTTGTTATTTTAATTTAAATGTAAATGAACGTTATCGCAAAGAATCACCTACCTCAAGCTCACTCATAACTGACTTAAAAAGAGCTTGTTTATGTATTTGCATTGGTTATAGAACTGAATTATGTACTCCGACTATCTTTACTAAACAATTAAAATATGTACTTTTGTTTACATAAACAATTCGAGATAATATTAATACTATTCGTACTAAATTAAAATATCAAGATTGTCGAAGTTCATAGTTCGTAGAAGAATATCTTGAAATTGTGTTAGAAGCATACTTAACTGTTACATTATGTTCCAAATGATTTATTATTAACTTGTTATATGGTCATCTATATTTATTTAACACGGGATATCTACGGGGTTTTTGTTATAAATCTATATTATAATGTGTAGGAACATGTTTTTAATAATTGGCCAATGCTGCAAAAGTTATTATTGTACAGTTTCTGCCGAACTAATAGCAGATAACCAAGATAAGTTGACGTATCTACTTATTCAATATAAACATTGCCAATTATTAAAAGTTCCTGCACAGCTGTTTATGTATAATACACAAAATATATAATATTTACAAACCTTATTTCTCCACTGCTCTGAAATTAGCGTCGAAACGTAGCTACGCAACTTGCGCAGGGTGCCTTCAGTTTGCGCAACTGCGCATGTCTTGCGCAAAGTTCAGAATAGTTGAGATTAGAAGGGCGGTTATAGTTTTTATTTTTCTTAATCGGCAGTATTAAGTTGCGGGTTAGTTTGCGAGGCTAGGGCCGTGTGGCGGTGCTGAGTGGGCGTAATGTAATATCGTAGTAAGCAGGCACTTGAGACGCGGCGGCGGCGCGCGTTATATGAACACCGGGTTCTCCTGACCGGTCAGCAGCCTGAACATCGACGTCGGCATTGTCTTCATCAATATCTGAGGATTATATAACAGTTCTTAACATGAGACATGTGAACAATGTGGGAGAACCATTCTTCGGCATAAATGTGTCGGTTCGTCCAGAGTGGTACCAAGGCCTCATAGAAAACTGACGTGAAACAACCATAACATTGTATATCGCCGTGGGAAATTACAGACAGTAGTACTACACTAAAGGTTTCCTTGGTTTAAGCTCGAAAATATAAACTATTTTTGAAAAGTAATCTTGCAAAACTGTATGATTTCTTCTTCCATATGAATATCAAAAAGTGCTAAATAAAGTTTTACAAGGGTTTGAATACTTCCATTCATTTGGTAGGGTAAATACAATATTATGAAGTGAAGTACCTCTCCGACGGAGGTGGCGAGTAGGTTGACGATGCGCTCGTGCGGTACGGCGACGACGCTCTGCGAGTTGATCTCGATGATGCGGTGTCCCACTCGCACTCCGCCGCGCTCCGCTATACCGCCGCGAAGCAGGCTGCAGATCTGGAATATCATTCGACATGAGTTAAAAATTGCTCACAACATATCGGAATGACCGATCGAGACGAGAATATAAAAGGAAAAAAAGTTGATACCAGAATTACTTAAGATTTGAAAATCCTTTGATTCAATCTTGCATTTCATGTTCAATATCGATTTTAATTTTCTTCGCTTTTTCCAATCCCTAAATGTTCAAAACCCTTATCCGCAAAAAGTCAGCGACGCACTCGTATCTCCCCTGGTATCCCGGCTGTCCATGACCGGTACTAATTGCTTACCATCAGGTAATCCACAAGCTCGTTTTCCACCCTATAAAATAAAAACGAAAAATTAAGATCAGTTATTAATTGAAACAAAAACTCACAACTCCATTCTGCACGCTGAAGCCAAGTTGGTACTTGGTGTCTGGTCTCTTGATCTTGACCTCGACTACAGGCGCGCACGGAACCACGGTCAGCTTCACAACGGTCTGGTTCTTCGAGTTCTTTATATAAGTCTGACAGGTCGACAGCGGTAGCCCCACTAGACTGACGCCGTTTATTGCTATTATTTGATCGCCTGGAATGGGAAAATATTGCTCAAGTAAACACGTTTCGGAAGGACAAGGGTCAAGCGCAATTAGGTACCGCGGCCTCAGACTAGAGCAAGAGAAGGAGAGGGGGGGGATAAGGGGTTGTCAGTAACAGTCTGAAACTCCGTCTCGCCATACCCTGGGCGATAGAAGTTATTTGAATATTTTCCCTCCTTAAAATAGTAGTAGAAATATTTTGTTTCTTTTGTAAAATTGTCATTTAAGTTTAATCTAACAAACTACGCAATAATGAATGTGAACTCAGCTTATATTATTTCCAACATTATTATTAACTAACTAAGGTCTATAGAGAGACATAAATCTCTATATTTTATTTTACAATGGATACTCCATTACTGGTATATAAAGCAGTAATTAGCAAAAAATATTTACCTATATTAAGTTGTCCGCAGCGCGCAGCGGCCCCTGCGGGCGCCAGGTTGGCAATGACCACAGTGGGCAGCATGGAGCCCCAACCGGACTCCACGACCACCACGCCTAGAATCTCACCCTTTGTTTTCGGGACCACCACCTAAGATTAAAGGCAACTTAGAGCACAAATTTTTCATAATGATAATTAAAGTCTCTTTTTCATTTAAAAACATGACTGTTTGAACAAAATAACTGCTTCCGATTTTAGGAATTCTCAAGTCTCTCAATTCTCTCACCTCTTTTACGACAGTTGACAGTTGAGGTTTTTAGTTACGGTACGATCAGAATTGTCAGTCAAATTATTAAACGTTTTACTATCATCTCTGACTTCTTACACTAGCGATGCGCAAGCGCAGAGTAAAAGAGACAAAATAAATTTAAATTTGAATATTAACTTACCTCTTTCTGCAATTCCTTTTTGGCGAACATTTGTAACTCGTCCCCAAATATCTCCTGACTGTTCAGCACCTCTTGGTAGTCCATTTCTTTGACGAAACTATGGTCCTCTATTCCATTCGCCTTAAGGAACTCCATGTAAGCGACCTGGAATGCCTGTCCTATAGACTGCGCTATAAATTGTGCCTGAAACAATTTATTATTATCATTATTTTGGGCGAAAAACTTCATTGTAATGTGGTGTGAGTATATGCATGTTAGTGTGTAAGTATGTGTAAGATTATAGTAAGCATCATTATTGTGGAAAGTACTGAGTAATAAATGGATCGTGACGCTAAACAGTAGTTTGTTATTTGACACCCCTTAGTCCCGAGATACTACATGGCGACCCTGCCAGTGCGCGTTAAATAATAACTATGGGGAAACAATGCTCGAAATGTGCCTGTGAGAACAAAGAAGTTATCATAAATCAACACGGTGGTGGAGAAGCAAGTGCGACTGCTGATGCGTCCACGCACTTACAGACCAACAATATTATATTTTCTGTTTTCCTGGCAATCGTTGCTGCGTTTATTCTGTACATACTATTCAAGCAGTACAGAAACTGTCACTTGGCTATGGTGCAGAACCAGCTCAGAGAGGATGCATTCCGGCGGATCAGGATGAGGCTGTCTGGAGCACGGAGGAGTCAGAACGAGAGAGACGGTGATCAGGAAGCAGGACCTCGGGACATGTAATGACTTCGACTTCGGTTCGCATCAATTTTTTTTTCTCTTTCTATTGTTTCTTTAGTAGTAATTAAGTCACATGTTCGACTACGTATATATTTTAGTTTTAAATGTGTTAAGTTAGAAATGTAATAAGCATCTAAACATTTTACAGTTATCAGATGGCTAATGATTTAATATCTATCTTAAACGAACTTGAAAAGATAAAGGTATCTTTAAGAAAGTTGGGTCCCAGTAAGCGGGAACTGAATGTTAATTACATTAAAAGAAAATTTTTAGATGCAGAAAAATTATATAGTGAAAATAAAACTCTTTGTAAGTTAATTTTATAGGAAAAGTTGTTTACTAAAGAATTTACGGAGATATTTTTCTTAGATATAATAAGTAGGATAGAAGATACATTTAGCAAAATAAAAACTTATTGTGTAAGTTCTGAACAGACTAATTTGAAAACTGCCGCTAGTTTAGTGCCGGTTATGGACAGTACAGAGGAAAGCGTTGAAAAAATTATCGATAGCGTAGAACTATATGATTGTTGTCTCACGGAGACCAGTTGCAAAAAATTACTTGCTTCTTTTGTATTAAAAACTAGGTTAACTAAAACCGCCAAACTTAAACTTAAGCGAGATTACGATTCTTGCACGGATTTGATTAAGGATATGAAGTTGTTTTTATTAACAAAGAAATCTTCTAATTCTTTAATGACTCAACTAAATAGTATACGCCAAAATGACTTGTCAATTGCGGATTTTGGTTCTAAGCTCGAAGAACTCTTTACTGATTTAACTATATCGCAAGCTAAATCGAATAATGAAGCGTTTGAAATTTTACGACCTATTAATGAGGAACTGGCAGTTAAGAAATTTGCCGACGGGTTACGTAACAGGAGGTTAAGCACTATTATTGCAGCACGCAATTACACCGACCTGAAGGACGCGGTGCGAGCAGCCCTGGACGAGGAGTTATCTCAACCCCAACCAACGACCTCAAACTCGATCCTAAATATTCGAGGTAAGTCACATACATTACAATTGCGTGGCCGGGGAAATTATCATTTTAGATCCCAATCGGGTTTTCGCGGTAATTTCAGCCAGAATAGAGGTAACAATAATTCTTATGCTAACAGGAATCGTACATTTCAGTACAATAATTTCGCATTTCGTGGAAGACAATCTCGTGGTTTTCGCACGCGACCAAATCGCGGTCGAGTTGTTTACAATAGTAGAGGCCAACAACAAATAAACGTTGCAAAAACGGATACAACTAAATCTGAGGGTACGGAAGGTTCGACTGATAATCAGGAAAATAATAATAATCAGTTTTTTCGATCCCAACAGTCCTAATATTTTAACATGTGACGTAAGCAGTGCTAATTATGTAACATTATATTTAAACGAGAACAGGTGTTCGTGGCTTTTAGATACGGGTGCGACCTTATCAGCCGTGAGTAGCTCTGTATTAGGAGATCAATTACATGTTTATGAAGATAGGATTACTATAAACGGGATAGGCGGAAAGTGTTCTTCAAAAGGTTATGTTTATCTTACTTTAAGAACTGTTGACAATTTTACTTTCCAACATAAGTTTTATGTATTTGAAAAATTACCTTGTAAGTCAGAAGGTATTTTGGGACAAGATTTCTTAGATCAATTTAGTTCAATTACTTTTGACTTAGAAAAATCTTTATTAAAACTCACTGTTGGTGACAAAAAAATATTTTTGCCGTTATATAGAATACCTCAAATAAGTAATTCATCGTTACATATACCAGCTCGTTGCGAATCTATTCATTATATAAAATTAGATTCAGATATAACACAAGACTGTGTTATACTACCAAAACAATTACATACAGATGTATTATTGGCAAGCTTAATAGTTAGACCTCAAAATAAAATTATTCCTATTCGGATACTTAATTCTAGCGATAAAAATATTACTTTACCTATTTTTAAACCAGAGTTAGATTTGCTAAGCAACTATGAAATTTGCGCATTTGAGAAATGTGAGTCCGGTTCCCAGCGCGCTAAGTTATTGTTATCGTTATTGAAATTGGATCATTTAGATTCTACGGAAAGACAAACAATAGAATCCATTTGTGTAAAGTACGCCGATGTATTCCAATTACCATGGGAAAAATTAACTACTACACCGATATGTGAACAGTCTATCGCCTTGAAACCTGATTCTAAACCTATTTATACTAAACCTTATCGTATACCTTTTAGTCAGAAAACTGAAGTTGAAAAGCAAATCAAAAAATGTTACAAGATGATATTATTGAAAAATCGCAAAGTGAATGGTCTAGTCCTATTCTTTTAGTTCCCAAAAAGACAGATGGTGAGAACAAAAGTTGGAGGTTGGTTGTGGATTATCGTAAGCTAAATTCAACTATACAGGACGATAAGTTTCCACTTCCAAATATTACCGAAATATTGGACTCGCTATCAGGTGCTGTTTACTACACACATTTAGATTTATCTCAAAGTTATTATCAGGTGCGACTAACGTCAAAAGATGATAGTCGTAAAATTACAGCATTTACGACTAATACTGGCCAATACCAAATGAAAAGACTACCTATGGGTTTGAAAATAAGCCCTAGTGCTTTTTCACGGGTCATGACTGTTGCAATGTCCGGCCTTACGTTTGATAAATGTATTATTTATTGCGATGACCTTGTTGTTTTTGGACGTAATATATCACAACATAATAAAAACTTAATTGATGTCCTTGAGAGGTTAAGATTAGTCAATTTGAAATTAAACCCCAACAAGTGTCAATTTTTAAAAACGGAAATGTTATATCTCGGTCATACGATATCTAAGGATGGTGTTTTGCCAGATCCTGATAAAATTAGAGTAATTAAAAATTATCCTTTGCCAAAAAATTCTGACGAAGTTAGGCGATTTGTAGCATTTAGTAATTACTATAGAAAGTTCATTAAAAATTTTGCGGAGATAACAGAGCCACTAAATAAACTTTGTCGGAAGAATGTACCCTTTGTATGGACTGAAAATTGTGATCAGTCATTTCAATTTCTAAAACAAGCTTTATCATCGCCGCCTATACTTCAATATCCAGACTTTTCACCTAACAGCGAATTTATTTTGCAAACTGACGCCTCAGGTATTGCGATAAGTGCAATTCTTTGTAATAAAGATTTGCGCCCAGTAGCTTACGCAAGTCGACCATTAAATAAATCGGAACGTAATTACCCTACTATCCAAAAGGAACTTCTAGCTATCGTTTGGGGTGTAAAATACTTTCGCCCATATTTGTTTGGAAAATCATTTACGATAATGACAGACCACAAACCGTTAGTATATTTATTTGGAATTAAAGATCCTAGTAGTAGACTTTTAAAATTTCGATTGGCTCTTGATGAATACGATTACAAGATAGTTTATGTGCAAGGTAAAAATAATCCTGCAGCGGACGCGTTATCTCGAATAGTAATTACGTCAGAGGATTTGAAAGCGATGAATGAACAAATTATGACTGTTATGACGCGAGCACAAAAGAGGAGAATGGAAGAAAGTGATAGGATTGATATTGGATCCCCCAATGTATGCACAGACGAGCGGCCTGCGCACCCGCAAGTCGTGGAGATATTGAGGATTCCAAATAACTCTGTGGAAATGTTATTAATAGAAGGAGAAAAGTTAAGAAAAATGAGAGATAAACGACTAATTGATGTTGAATGGAAATGTTTTGCATTTAATTCAAAATGTAAGAAAATATACATAAACCTCGATTACAAAAACAATTTCACGCGAGACGTATTTGTGCTGTATTTGAGTGATTTTTGTAAGGATATAAACGTCGACGAAATATGTATTATTAAAAATGAAAGTAATGAAATGTTTATAAAAGACGTCATAAATGAAGTTAAAAATAATGAAAATTACCTAGGCCCTAGGATATGCATTTTAAGAGGTGTTACGAGAATTGATAAGAATGAAGATAAGGAGTTTATTTTAAACGATTTTCATCTACTGCCCACTAGCGGTCACGCAGGGGTACGTAGAATGATAAACAATATAAAAAAATGCTTTTACTGGCCAGGACTAGAGAAAGATGTCCAAAACTATGTTCGAAAATGCCAGAGCTGTCAAAAAATGAAGCACTCAAGGCATACAGTTGAGCCATTGGAAATTACAACTACGGCCACAACTGCCTTTGAAAGAATTTTCTTAGACATAGTTGGTCCTTTAGATAGAGACTTAGACGGGAATGTTTACATTCTCACATTACAGTGCGATTTAAGTAAATTCGTAGAGGCTTATCCTTTACCTAATAAAGAAACTATTACTGTAGCTAAGGCCCTAGTTAATAATTTTATTTTAAGGTTCGGTATACCAAAATGCATTGTCACTGATAGAGGTCAAGAATTTTTATCGTCAACTATGGCAGATGTTTGTAAATTACTCGAAATCGAAAAATTACATAGCACTTCATACCATCATCAAACTTTAGGCTCGATTGAAAATACGCATAAACATTTAGGAGCTTTTCTTCGCATTCAGTGTGATAAGCACCCGGAGGCATGGAGCTACTGGCTCCCCTACTGGTGTTTTTCGTACAATAATACTGTCCATATATCCACTAAATATGCGCCGTATGAATTAGTATTTGGAAAACATTGTGTAATTCCTAGTAGACTAAGTAATAGAGTTGAACCATTGTATAACATAGATAATTACTGTTTAGAATTAAGGTATAGATTACAAGTTGCGCAAAAAGACGCTCGTGAAAATTTGTTATCAGTGAAACAAAACAGAAAAAGTGTGTACGACCAAAAAGTGAACTCAGTGAAATATAATCCATCCGATTTATTATTAGTGAAAAGTGAAACCGGGACTAAGTTACAAGTACTGTATGATGGACCTTATTTAGTATTAGAGGATATTGGACCAAATGTTGTTATATTGAAAAACAATAAACGAGAAATTATTCATAAGAATAGAACTAAGCCGTTTGTAACTAATATTAAGTAGTGTATAGAATTTCTGCGCGCAGTACATTCTTTTCAGTAGATTGTTAGTTTTATTATTAAACTACATGGTTTTGTTTATTCTATATAGTTATAAAAAAAAAAAAACATTTTGTTTACCAAAAAATTTTTTTTTCAAATCAACCCCTGTAATGTGGTGTGAGTATATGCATGTTAGTGTGTAAGTATGTGTAAGATTATAGTAAGCATCATTATTGTGGAAAGTACTGAGTAATAAATGGATCGTGACGCTAAACAGTAATTTGTTATTTGACACCCCTTAGTCCCGAGATACTACAGTAAACAGATATCTTAAGATCAAAATTGTATTTCAGAATTTACTTTCAAACTGATTCTTCAATGATTATTTTCAATAAGTTTCATAACTGATTGAAATAAGGTTTAATTTAGCGTGTTTTTGCCTTATCTGGTCACGTTTCAATGAATCCAATAACCAAGAATTTGTTCAATGAAGCGTGGTTGTAATATCTTCAGACATCGCTAACAAAAAGAGGTGATACTCTACTAACTTGTAGTAATGTAAAATGTTCGGACAAAAGCATATAAAGTTACTCCAATCTGTCAAATATCTCCAACCCATTTCCGACCTTTTAGCTTTGAAATAACGCTCAAAATGCATTAAAGTATTGACGCATATGTGCCAAGATAAATAGTGTTATCAATGTTTATTTTATTTTGTAAAGATTAGAATTTGAGGTTAGAACGTCGTTTGCTGTAGACGTTTTTGCATGTTATCTTGGTTGGGGTTTAAGGTCCATTATGTTTACAAATACAGGTTATACTGTCATGGGCATTTTATTCTTAATGTATTAATATATTCATTACTTAGTATGACCCTTGTAAAATATAAGATAAAAGCACACAGCTTAAATGAAAATATCATGGATTGTATAATTCTTGGGAACGTACATACCTATTACTATTTTACTTTACATATTTTATGTTTGGAATTTGGCATATTTCTTATCATATTGATTTACCTACCTAAAGAATATGCTGACACAATTCTTAATAAAATAAACCATAGATATTTAATTTATCCTTACCTCTTCGCTCTCAAAAACATGGCAGATCATTTTCGGCGTGCGGTTCAATTTAGGCTGGTCTGAGTCGTTCTCATGTGGGACAAACCTTCTCCTTGCCATGAGCACGACCAGATCTCCAATATCAGCGATGTAGGATATAGTCCTCAATGCGTGGTCCATCATGATCTCCTTCAGTTCAGTGTTTAAGACCATTATCTTCTCAGTAGATATAAAGAGGTCTACTTCTGTACTTGGTTGGTTTTCGCCCTCAGGAGCCTGTAATTTAGAGTAGGGTTTCTATGATATTCGCTTTCAAAGGGCCGGCTTTATCTCCAGAGAGTACAAAGACAAGCTTCTGATAATGAATGAATTAGCATCGATTCTAATAACATTGACTACTAAGTACTAAGCACATTGATACTTTTCTTAAGAGGGATTGTAGTAAAGATATGTCATGGATTATAAATAAGTGTATTATTTTTTAGCTGCTAGCTTCTAAGGTTTGTTAAGAGGATTAATTTATATTATTGCATTCCAGTCTATTCTGTTGTCTTTATCGTCTGAAGCAAAATGTATCTAGAATCGGGACACAAATACATCAAGCAAGCTTTTACAATGATCTTGATAAAATGCTTGAACAGTATTAAAGTGAATTGTTTGAATTAAGTTAAAATTTTATGTTATCAATAAACTTCACTTCGAATGATTTGCTTCTTATAGTCTTTCTTAAGTTTTGAACGGGCTATAACACAACGAATGATCAGGTTTAAAAAACTGCTAAAGGAGTTTATGTATCGATTTAATGTCATATTTTTTTTTGCCCTTAGATGTATTTGAGTCGGAATAAGAAATGGACATGTTTGTGCATCAATATTGTGTTTATCGATGAGAATATGTTCAATACTTTATGACTTAATCGCTGTCGCATGTAACTCAGCAGTGGCGGATTACTCAATAAGAATCATAATTTGGATAATAAGCGACAATTTGGAACAACAATGGGGTGGGTCTATTAAAGCTGGTGGCACAAAAATGGAATGGAATAGAATAGCAGTGTCCAGTAAATAAATAAGGTGCTCTCTTCTTAATCCGCCACCACGATAATGTGAAGTCAATTTAGAAATTTTGACACTTACCAAAGCCTGATTACCCAAGACAGCGAAAAGGGAAATACGGTAATGTTAGTACAATGAAGTGGCAACACTTAAATATAACAAACAGTTTATTGAAGTCTTCAATTGGCTACTACCTATCTAGTATATATAAGCATAAAACTTTCATAGTCAAAGATTGCTTTATACTAAGAACTTTTTAAAATCTTTATCACCAAATTGAAGACCTCAATAAACAGACAACACACATAACCAAGATGATTCCATTTTACTGGCAACACCGATAGATACTGTCTATTGATATGAATCTTGAAGCTTCCGTTATATTTTTCCGAAAAATTATCCTACAGTATTGTACATTGAACTTTAAAATTATCCTGTAGAGACGTTGATTTTCATTGACTTTTCTAATGTAAGAGAAGCGGTTATATTTTAAAATTCGACCAGTGTTGAAGCATGAAAATGTTGCAAACGTAAAAATCTTTATATTAAAATAAAAATAAAACCTTCAATTACATTGGAAAACCCCAATAAAATGAACGGTAGACGAGTAAAAAGGTTGTATTGTAAGAGCCTAAACATAATATGTCAGCCAAACCACCTTGATCTTAGTGACGGCTTCCTCTACCATGTTCTTTTTGGGTCGCTTCTTGCGCCGGCGCGAGTCCTCGTCGACCTCGACCGAGCCCAGGAAGGAGAGTCGGAAGACGGCGGCCGGAGCGGCGTACACGCCGGAGTACGGCCCGTCGCAGCCCCACTGTGACATGAGCCATGCCGGCTAACCTCCTCGGACGTTCTCACATTGTTGGCGTGTATTCGATTTGTTTTGTATTTTATAAGATTTTGTTGTGAGTTTTATTTTTCGACTTAATTTTTATTACTCTAAGAGACATTGCATTAAAATCCAATGATAACATTGAATTTAACGAAACAACGTAATATATTGAATTTATCGTTAATTTGAACTACTTCGCCCCGCCTAACTACAATCGGTAGTTTTTTCTTTTATTAGTTATTTTAACAAGAAGATATTGTTATTTTTCTTTTTAATTAATATTGTAGTGAATGCTAACTGAATATGTGCTGCTGCATATTCATAAGGTGTCGCAGCTCAGGTGCGGCAGCTAATTATAACTTAAGGTTGTTAAAGTTGCAATATTTTAAATTACCTATGTTAATTTTCCTAAGATATGAAACCATTCTTAAATCCTTAATTAGCTTCGGTTTTTTGTCACAATATTTATGTAGCAATATGTCATTTTAAGCCTTGTTTGGCTTGCTTTCCAAACGCTTTTCGAACGAAACCAATGTATTATAGCGAAATGATTAAAAATTTGCGCGCCAAAGCAAGCAAAACAACTCGAATACAAACACACAATGATTCTGTGAGAAGCGAGCGAATTCACCGGTCGTTAGTATGAAAGCAGACCTAACGGATTAACCTTATTATTAGAACAGGGAGATCGTGTGCGTAGCAGTAAGCCTTCCGCGATGTAGTGCCTCACGTCGCCAGGCCACCGCCGCCGGTGTGAATCGGGTATGTTACATGCTATATTGTGCATATTATGAAAAAGTGCGTGGAGAAAAAAGCATCCGTACCGGTCTGTGACGTATGTAGGTACTTCCATCGGACACGGTTTATCGAGTTATGCTTATGAAGCAGCATCTGTAACTGTGTTCAGTCATCATAAACACAACTCGACGGAATACGAAAGTACGTTCGTTCATAAATAGCCCGAAATTGGAACATGCCAAGGTAAAAGTCTAGCACAGCACAATATGATCGCATACTCGGAGCTTACCTTGCAATGCCCTACACAAGGGCCCAAATGATACAAAGCATTAGCGACAAGCGGAACAGTAAGCGACAGATAAACAAACATTTTCAGAGGAGGCTAGCCGGCCAATACGGGATCCGACAATCTTCTTGGGTCGGGTCGAGGGGTGAGGATCACACTGAAAAAAATACTCTAGTGCCAAGTCAATAAGAGCTCAAACGGTTTGGCGGACAGGTCGTGGATGGCTCAAACATTTGAAAATAAACATACACAGGGCAAAGTCCCGGTAATAACGTTCTAGCATCTAAATATTGTTTCGTTCGTTTATATAAAGGGTATGAAGGATATCCCACTAGCATTCTCAATACACTAATCCTAATGAGCATGAAATTACATATGTACAAGATGACCGTGATAGTTTAGTAGGTACATAGAAAGAGTAGCGTGCAAATAGAATAATTTGCGTGCCATTGCTTCACGCGTTTGGATAGAGATGTGAAAGGGCTTTGTCGGTAGCTCGACTAGAGGTGGTTATAGTCGATAGAATAGTGTTGACAGAAGTTCAATTTTGACTGAGCTTCAGTTATACAACGTTTTTAATTATTTAAATAATAATTAAGAGCTTGTTAAGTGAGATAATTTTACATAAGGATTAGATTTGGATACAGATAGTGCTGTAAAATTATCGCACCTTGTAGGCTAATTGTGAACCAATATTTTTTTAAATATAATACAGTTGTATAACAAAGCCAGTATATGCCAATCTCAAGAGGAGTGCTAGAATAAGAGTGGGACAGAGAGTGACAAGTAATTTCATGCTCTCGCTCAATAAACATCTACATAAGATACAAACATTTTACATTATACCGATTCACACGGGCAAACGGTAAGTTGCTCAACTGTGTCTTATGAGAATGCAAGGTTCAAACACGGAAGTTAGCAACCCTGGGCTTTTTATAAGTGGCAACCCTAGTTTTGGTTAGGATTAAAATAAAATAAAAATAATTTTGTTGAAGAATTTTTGAAATTAATTAAATATTATGTAGACGCTGCACAACATAATTTTATTAGAACTTAGCGAATGGGTAATAAAGTGAAACATTAAAAAAATACTGACTCATTGAAATAGGTCATTACGCTAGCGTCTGCATAACCATTTTAACTAAGAATGGAACTTGGGGTTTATTTAATAATGCCAAATATTAAATTAATGGTTCATCAAAAATAAAATAGCACCTCTTCAAAATAAGGTAGGGTAGTGAAAATCAGGGCTAAGTTTCATGACAAAATCTGTAATTCTTTTATTATAGGTCTGTCAATCAATTAATGGAAAAATATTATATTACCAGGTATTCATAAAAAATAATGACAAATTATGATAGTAAAATAAAACCAGGTTTTATACGATACCTTGATTCTGGACACGGCTTCTTCAGCTTGCAGCATTCTGGTGGCTTTGGTGGGCTGGCCCTCGCAAGCCAGTTGTGTGGATCCAAGGTACCGGGCGCGAAACAATACGCCTTCTATGAGCACTGAACGGTTTACATCTGTGAACCAAAATGCGCTGTATCAACTAATATTTCTGTCAATTTAGCTAACGATTTTGCCACTTTTAGGCACAGATTTTTTCGGTAAAAATAATTTAATAATTTAAAATTGTTTTTCAATTTAATCTTTATTGCTAAAAACGCTTGTAGTTGGAATAAGGATTAAGTATTTGCACAGATGTAAACATAAGGTCAACCTTGTTCAAATTGTATATATTTATACATCTTCATATTTGAACATTCTGTTTATACACTTGTTTTGTTAGACTTTTTGTTTTCAAAAATGAATAACAACAGTAATAATTTTGTACTACAAAATATTTATGAAAATTATTTTTTTTCTATCTCAAAACTCACCATGGACAAAATCCAAAGGCAGCATAAAATAGATAAATAGATTTAGTCGGTTTTCTTCCAATAAAAAATAATGTCAAATATAATTATTGTTCTTCAAACTTACCTTCTTTATTTTTACTCTTTTTCTTCCCGTCTTTGTCCTGAAAAGTAAAATAGTTATTTAACGAGTCTGTCTTATCTAAGTAGTATTAGTAAGAAGTACCCAATATTCAATGACAATTATGTGATAATTTATTTTTTGTTTTCATTTTCATTTAACTGGTGTCAAATGCACGGGTTCATTTCCAAAACCATTAAGAAGTATGGAATTAAAGTTTAACTTTATTTTCGGTACGTTATTCTTGCACCCTCAACTTCAGAGCTGCTTTTTTGAAGGAGGACAATTATCAATTGTCCTGTCTCGCCCTGGGCGGGAGGAGAAAGAGTTACAGACTCTTACTGACTAAAACTACCCCGTTTCTTCTCCTGCTTTATGCCTTGGCCGCGGTAATGTAGATATTGCGCTTTTGCCCCAACCCAGCCCCAACATCAGCCATATTGGGCACGGCTAACCTCGGGAGCTGAATGAGATATCGTTTATATTCAGGCTAGACCTTCGTTCGAATAGCTTGTAAGCTTGTTGGCTCCGATACACTATCCCTACTAGGGTCAAAAGTGACTTTATGACTAAACAACTTCGTGTAGTGTTCTGTAAGTAATTTAAAAGGGTTGTCACCTTCCCGTTGTGCAGCGCCTCTTCGTCCCGGTTGTCGGTGGCGTCGTGGGCATGTGGCGAGCGAGCCGCCACTACGCTGCCGCCCGGCATCACCGTGCGGGATTTCGGTTTGCGCCAGCCCTATGACAAACATTGTAATTTAAATATACTGAAAATATAAATAGTAACGTATTCATTCAGTTCACATGTAATATGGTAAAATAGTGGGACCCGAACCTAATTAAATGAATTTTTTACCACAACTACTACTTTTCTTTCTTCTACTACATACCTAGTTGTTTTTAAATATGTATTAGGTCCTGGACTTTGGGCTTCCTATAAGTACTAACCACTCTTGCGCGGTTTTGCCCGCTGCGCGGCTTCTACAGATCCTAGCGTGATGTTATATTTTATATCTACTCTAATTCCTTCCTCGATTAATGGTATATAGAACACAAAAAAAAATCAATTCGGACCAGTAGTTCCTGAGATTAGCGCACTCGAACAAAACAAACTCTTTAGTATTATAATATTAGTATAGCTAAGTTATCTGTCTGATGTCTATCAAAATTGACCCTTAGTCGATTCCCGTGAATCTGAGTACAAAATACCTAGATTCAATTCTGTTAGACACACATCATTTTAATTTTATTGATATCAATTACAACAACAAAATTGCACACAATAAATTTTCATACGGACGCTATTGTTCATTGAAATCAGTTTAAGAGCTCCGTTACTTGGAACTCATCAACCTAAATTACTACAGACAGCAGGTCAACCTACTCCAATTTTGAACATTTTCATTGGATTATCGACTTTATTTCAAGACTATGAAGTTTAAAATCGAATGAAGAAAAGGTCTTATACAATGTATGAGTACTTGGGTCACTGTTTGACCCGAGCCTTTCTTGTTATTGAGATGTGCTTGAGCTTCAAACGTCTAATATTTTTATAGATAAACGTTTAACGTATGTGTGTTTTAAAGTTTATATTAACAACAGAAACCAGCTGTTAACGAACTTGGTAATTAAGTCGTTAACTGGGAAAACTACTGAGGACAAATCCTCCGCTACCGTGGCATTCGATAAAGATTATGAAAAGAAAATAATAAGAAGTATGTATCTATCGTTTTCTTCTTTGTTCTTCAACGTTCAACTAACACTGATATAGTACAATGGTAGAATTCTTTGATTGAGTGTTCGACGTTGTATTTTTAGTACCTATCTCTATAAATAATCTCAATGCGTATTTATGCGCCTGTATGTTGTTTCGTAGCTTCTAAATAGATGAAACGATTCAAGTAATTAATAGGAAATGGTATGGTAGGTACACACACACACATATTGGTAGGCATAAGTGTGGTCAAATTTAAATAAAAAGCTATACGGGTAAAACTAAAAAAAATATTTTTGTATGTGAATTAGTTACTAACTTGTTCCTAAGTAATTTTATTTATTTATGTTTATGATTAAACAAACCTAACTATAATAGCAGTAACCCAATGCGGTGGCTTAGTGACACACAAGCACAATAAATATCAAATTAAAATTAAAATCTAAGTGTAGTACTATACCCCTCATACCTCCCCCTATCTCTAATCGTCAATAACGAATACCCCACAAAATGCCGGCAACGCACTTATATCTCCTTTGGTATTGCGGGTGCGAACGTCGATTCTTTACCATCAAGGGATACCCCTGGTCGTTTTCCGACATAATTATTATGCCATAAAATCTAGTCTAGAATGTATATGCTAACCAATTGAATCTGAAGACTACTTTTTCATTAATTTCTGGGATAAACATCATTGTACAATCCTGCGAATTAGGTGTGATTTGTGGTAGGTATTTACGAAGGACCTATAAGTGCTGGTGCAAGCTGCAATATATGCATGCAGTAGCAAATATTCTTGTAGCTTCTGCCAGCGGCTTTGATTAATAGTAGCCTATATATGTAATATGTATATAGTATTATTTCTCATTAAAATCCATCTCTGTATAAAATTTCTATGTAAAAAGAGTAATATGTTTTTTATACAATTTAAATAAATGTTATTGTTTTGTGATCTTCGATATATTGTCAATATTTCAATTAGTTAGTTTAGTTTTAAAATATTAGAAACTAAATTCGCTGGTAACCGTGAAAATAAATTGTAGATAATACAATTAATAGTTACAAAAACCTTGTATAATACGCAATCTGCAATATTTTTTATTATTGGCTACTTTTGTTTTTATTTCAAACTGTGTAACTCTTGTAGATTTTGTCTCACCCTAATACTATACACAAGTAAAATCCTTCACACGTTTTTCATGTAAAATATTTGCTCACCGCACGACAACAATTAATAATAACTATCAGAACTATTTATTTACCAGCACATTAAGCTATACCAAATATCTTACATTTACAACCTTATTTTGATTGCGATAAAATTGATATAAGTTTAACAAAAAAAGTAGGATAGCTTAATATGCCACCATTTCAACTTCATAATATTTTCCTACTATTACGTATAAAAATATTCTAACCTTTCCTTCTTTTGCATCACTTGAATCATCAGTAACTAACTCCACGTTGGACTCAACGTCAACGTCATTTGACTCACTATCATTACACGTTTTAACATCCACATCCTTTTTACTATCATCTTCATTTACTGTAATTACACCACTAGATACTACTGCTTCATCTATATTTACATCACTAATTTTACTAGCACTAACCACTATTTCATTACTCTGTTCATCATTAACATTTTTATCATCTACACTTTCTTCATTTTCACTTAAAAGTTGACTTCGAACATCAGTACAAGAATTTTCTTTCACATTATTAACATCACTTTCATTGTCATCCACTGCAATTTCACTTTTAGTATCATTTAAACAGGGTTGTTTTTCATCTTCAGTCATTGTAACACGGCTACGTTTCGCGTTCAATTTCGCGTAACTGAGCGTTCGATATGGTTTTATCAGTGCACTTGGTCATTTCCCATGCGATAATGATGTTTTAGTTTGAAGTGACGCATCTGTGTGTACACCGGTACGTGAGTTCTACTACACTGGCCGGCCACCGAGTTATGCTAACTTAACAGATGTATGGCCAAAGACTAAGGTATACAGATCGAGAAATATGCACAATACTACGTCAATAGTAAACGTGTCTTGCAATTCGTACGGCGAATAAATTGCTTGTAAACGTTGAAAATTAATTCCTCGTATCGACTAGGTGATAACAGTTTATTGTGCGATAAGGATAAATATAGATAGTGTTTATTATAGGTGTTATGGATTGTGTGGTTAGGTAATAAACGCTTGGACGTGTTTATGTATTAGATATTAGATATTAATAAGTAGAATGTTGGTGAGGATAAAAATCTTTATTATTTTTTACAATAAATAAAGAAAAGTCAGTGTACATTCAAATCTAATTCATAAAACTCAGAGGGCGGATTGGTATTTGTAACTGGTTACAATTAGTATAACAACATAATTTTATTTATTCGTTTGGTAATACTGTGCAGTGTCATTTTCATTACTTTATTTCATGAACTGAACATCACAGAGTTACAATTCAAGTAGGCACAATAAGAGCCGCGTCTGTATTATTCTAATCATCGTTCAAGAATAATAGTCGAACAAGGTCGATGCGCGTGCGCCGCTGACTCGACTCTTGTGTTTATACTCACAGCTGATGGTTGCGTCATACTCATTTATTGGGTAGGCGGTATTCTTGGACTAATTAATAACAGGTTCATAGTGGCACATCAAGAAACCTATGTCAAATGACTTTGAATTTTTAACTTTACTGCTTTTGCATTAAAGTACGATTTTTGTTTGAGTAGTTCGTTGTGATGTTTGTAAATGCATGCTGCAGTATTGTGAATTGAATATTTTAACATATTTGTACGCCGTTGGTGGCAAGACATAGCAGATCAATGTAAAGCTTGTAATATCTTCTGTAACCTATGATCTACAAATAAAGTAATTTGAAGTATTTGAAATGTAAAATAAGGAGCTAAAAATACGTTGGAAAAATAGTTTCTTTTTATATTTTAAAAGGTCGTTATTTTGTTTAAGGTTTTTATTTAGGCAAAAATATGATAAAGATATTAGATCTTTTTTTAATCTGTTTCTTTTTTTTCTATGAAGTAAACATTAATTTTACCTACTAATAATATGTATATGAATTACCATATCGGCACCATGTTTAGTTTCCCAACACACGAATTGTATTTATCAATAACATTTCTAAATAAGAAACCAGTCAAACACGTTTTTATGTACCTATTCGATATTGTTTCTATTTTAGTTGTGACACTTGCAACTAAGTGTATTACACGATTTCTTCATTAAGTGTGTTACACTGTACGAATGAAAGGCGCAACTTTGCCTATGCGTCGTTTTAGTAATTATTATTTATAATGAAACAGGAGGCTTTCAAACAGGCTGCTAATGGACCCCCCAACACTAGGAGTCACAAGTGCGTTGCTCGCCTTTTAAGAACTCTCTTATCAAAATTTTAAAGTTGATATTGGTTTGGTCACTACTTAATAAATAACTCAATGAAAAACACCCTTAAGAAACAACATTTTAAACTTTAAAACTCAAAATGCTGTTGCACATTTTGAATTTGAACAAAAACAAAACTGAAATGGACAATGTTTTCCTGTTTTGTGGACCTAAAACGGTAACAGAAGTTGTTTCTGACTCGCTTCAAGGACAAAAAATGCCTTTATATGGCATACATCGGTTGAGGCACATACGTTCATCCATAAAAAATTACACATATTTAACATGCTAAGATGCTCTGCTCGTCATGTGTTGTTGTACGTATTTAGGTACAAAACGATGCCTGATTAGCACAATATGATTTCAAGGTCATTTGTGGAGTTTATGTGTTATGAATGTGTTTCATTTTCATATGTAGGTGTGTAGCTAATGATGTTATGCGGCGAATCAATAGTGTTAGCAGTTCACCATCGTGTACCGTACGATGGTGAAAGACTAGAACACTATTGTTACTACTCCTAGTATTTCTGTCGGTGTCAAAGAAGCTACCTCATTTGTTGAGCGCTGTTATCAACATAAAACCTTCATTATTTTTAAACCTAAACAATCATCAATTTTCGCCCTCCAAACAGAAGTCAAGAATGTATACTTTGCAACCTAGGAAGCGACTATTTTTTATTCAGCCGAGAAACTGAAATGCCGTCAAAGGGAGCTATCCACCTCACGCCCCAGCTGCCTCAGAACAAGGGGGTTTTAGCCAGTAAGAGTCGAATTCCTCTCGCCTCAGAGAAGACATTTGATGAATATCCCTTCATAAAATAAAAAAGGGCGGGTTGTGACGACAAATGCCTATCGGTTTGACACAAACTTGCATGGCTCGTCAAATGTATGAAACCGCAGCAGTCTGTCGCGAAACACATAAGCATGTCTCTTTATACTTAGTTTTCTAAATTGCTTACTAGAAGTACTCGAGACAAAAATAATTCAAAGTTTGTACTAACAAATTATTGACCTACCTTATCATCGAAGAATCCTTGATCGTCTGTCCTTTGCTGTCCAAGTAATCTGTCAGTCTCAAGGTCTGTGTCGGCTTCATCTGGAAACAATAATTATATTAGTCTTGCTTCATCTACGTAAATAAGGCTATTTATTACTGTCACGTTAACAATAATAGGTGCAATGTAGCTATACATCTACTTCGAATTGTAATTTATTTGTTATTTGCGAGCCTTCTGTTTTTTATTGTAATACATTTATAACACTTATTAGGTATGATGAGAGATTTTCATCTTTATTTGAGTATGTATGTAACAATTACCATAATATTGTAATTGATTGGTTAATTACAAGCTAAGTTTTAGTTCAGCCGGGTTTCTGGGTGCAAGTGTTATAAACTTATAGGCTATCGCGGCTCTAGCCCGGTGCAGGAGAAGGAATCTCTCGTCCCACTTCCCGGAGCTAATTCTTGACGCTTTTCCCAGTCACTTTTACCAACTAATTAAAATCTATACTTATTATTTGACGTCACAATTTTGCGATATAAAATAATTCATACTAATATATTAAATGTTTCAAAAGTATTTCATATAACTAATTGCCATTGTCCCTGTCACGTTTGCACAAATGATTTGTAAATAAAAGAACAAAACACTCACCTTCGTCGCCACTGGCAGGTTTTATTTCCACCGATTCCGTGCTTTGCGCTGAAGACGGCCTTTTGCTGTTGGAAAGGGAAAATAATGTATTGTTGTTTTTCAATACAATCAGTAGCTATATACAGCAAAATATAATTCTATACTTATATTATAATGAAGTAAAATTTGTAAGTTTGTATATAAGGGGTAATATTTGGAACCGCTGGTCGGATTTCCAAAATACTTTCACTGATAGCTACAACGTTCCTGAGTGCCATAGATAGCCTATAGCTATAAATGATACTTGATTTGCGTATTTTAGTTGCTGTTGTTTTTAAAATCCTGGGAAACTTTACATTTAAAGATGCCGCGGGCGGAAGCTTACATGACTTGCTTTGTATATTTTTGTTTTGCCCATGTCTTGATTTAGTTTAGTTTCATTCAGAATACACGGTAGGCACAGTAGCTGGGCAACTGGCAACTGTGAATTTGTATGTTTGTAAACAAACCTATATAATGTAGCAGAAATTACTAGTAGTAAGGGGTAAATGGAGTGGGGTCGACAAAATGTGACAAGGGGTGAAAATAGTCCTAAGTTTTGTGATACCCCATTTCAAAATATATATTTTGAGGTTTAGTACCTCTCGCGTGATTTGAAATAATAATCAAACTAACATTATTTTCGACTCTATCTTTAGGATAACATAGTTTAAATTGTTCTGTTGACGAGTTCATACCCGACCTAGTGCCGCGCGCCGATCTCCGACGAGCCCTTTGACGAATGTAGCCAAACGAACGTCGCGTGATTTAATTGTTTTAAAATAAATTCATGTGACGTAAGTACTTTATGGATGGCGCCTAGTGTTATAATAATGTTGACTTTTACGAAGTCCATACATAGAAATTACATTAATATACTAACCGTGGCGGGTACACGTCCTCATGATGCGCATGATGATGATGCGGCGTATGTTGAGCGTGGGGCGTGTGAGGCGTATGCGTCACGTGTGGCGTATGAGGCGTATGTGGCGTGAGCGGGGCGTGTGGCAACGCAGGCAGCGTAGCGTGCGAGGCGTGGGGGGCGTGGGCAGCGTGGACTGAGCTCGGGGAGGCCGGCCGGTGCGGCGCCGGGGCCGGAGGGGGCGGCGGCGCCGATGTACTGCATACTGGGGAAATAAGAAAGGTTTTAATAATATGCTTAGAATTATGGCTTTTCTCACAAACCTAAAGTTTATTGCATACGTGGTATGTCCAGTAACACACTATTTGAACTCGAACGATAATATTAACAACTTTGGGCCGGCATTTGGCCACTATCACAACTAGTGTTAAGCGATGATGCGACCTGGACATTGCGATAGAGGATGCTTAACAACTAGCAACCTTTACACTAAGACTTTACTAAAGACACGGACTCCGGCAAAGAATTCCGCTACTTAGAGTTAATATTAATTAATTTTAAATACTGATTAGTGTGGGAGATCCATGCTTCGTCACGAATGGGCCTGCTCAACCGGAGTGATACCACGGCCACGGTTCACAGAAAACCAGCGTGAAACAACCATAGCGTTGTATTTCGCCATGTGAGTGAGGCAACCGAAGGCCACATCCTTCTCTTCCCACCAATCTCTCCCAAACCCCTAAATCTCCAAATCCCCAAAAGGTCGGCAACGAACTCGTACCTGCTCTGTTGTTGTGGGTGTCCATGGGCGGCGTTGATTGCTTACCATCAGGTAATCCGAATCTAATCACATAAAAAAAACTGATTTCACTCACCTAACGGGTCTAATGAATGTAGGTCCGCGTCAGACAGTACGTGCGGGTCCGTGCTCGTGCCATTCTCCACTATCTCCTTTATCACTACTGAATGTGTCTACAAACAAAATAAACAAATTATTAGCATTATCTGTTATTTATATAAAATGTAATTGCTTATGTGTTAAATAGTATTTAAAAAAATACATAACTTTAGTCAACTAGTCAAATTAAATACTTTTTATCTGTAATATCAAAAACGCCAATTTTATGTGACTCTTGTATGAAATAGAATGTTGTGGCGCCAAATTTTTTTTAATAACAAACTTTTTACTATTGAAATAGTTCAAATCAATCGTAAAATTAATGAATAAAGGTGTGATTAATATATTATTTAATTATTGTAAGTATAAGTGAATAAAAATAATTTTTGACTGAGGAAACTGCCCAATCTATTTAATAAAAACTCATTATGTTATTATATTAAGGTTCAAAGTCAAAAAACAACCGAAACACAATTTCAAAAAAAATCTTGAGCAACAAAACTCTTTTAAAAAAACTTAAAAATGCAATTGAACTAAGGGTCTATTTCACAATGTTTGATAAGCTACTAAAATATACTATGTACTTACTATTTCAATACAGAACATATCGCTTCGGAAGTTTATTAAAATTATTAGGGTACGTATGTATATAATTGTGGCGAAACAGACCCTTAGTATTTATTTAATAATACTTCTATATTAATATAAATTTATTTACCTGTATCATTTGGTTATTATTGTCGTTGTCGGACGCATGTCCTGACGATAGTCCGTCCTCCACGACCGGCAGATGTGTCACCACAACGCGATTCGTGTCCATTACCACTGTTAAACAAATATAAACCTTATCTTATGCACATTATAGTTTAAAATGTTATGCTTTATTGTGTAAAAATGAACTTTGTAATTTTGATTTAAAGATTATTTTCTAAAAGAGTTTTATACTATTTCCTTTTTTATTCTAAAGTGTCTTAAAAGAAAATAAACCTTGGTCCTTGTTTATAGAGTTTATATTTTAAAGTTAAGAATTAAATATTAAATTATAATGGTTTTTAACTTGAATATTCCTGTTAAAGGTTGTAAATGTGAACGGAAATAAGTTGTGATGACGATATGTCTCATATTAATGTATTTTCCTTAGAAGTGTCAGATTATATGACGTAGATAAACAATCCTACAATTTGTTTGAATAGGTATTACATATAGTATATCGTAATTCTCCGAGAACAATCAGTTTGTGTATAAGATAAAATATTTTACGATTACTAATATTAAACGAATTAGATAAGGTTAATCTATAGTATTTCCCATACTATTATATCAGTCATTGAATACTTAGAATGTATAATTAAACACCAGCCAATATTTGTATTACATAGAAATTCAATTAATTTTACATGGTAAAAAGTAGACGAGGTCTTATTCCAGACGATATATCGCTGTGCTTCATTCAGATGTGTCAGATTTGTTTCATTTAATTTTCGGATCAACGCTCTCTGACGTTATTACTTTTACAGGTTAAGGAGCATAACAGTTTAATTCTCAATTTTTCAATGGATAGATAAAAGTTACCTGGGAAATAATTATGATGCTGTCGCGTCAGAATGTTTGTATAAGACAGTGACAGCAAGAATTTTATTCCTCAGATAACTTTTTTAGTATGCGAAGTGCCTATGATCGGCGCTGATTGCTTACCATCAGCTAACCTGTCAGCTCGTATGACGACCTATCACATGAAAAAAGCACTTATTGTACACAGTAAAACTCACCTTTCATCTCCGACAACTCATTCTCCATCAACATCAGAGACAATGACCTATCACTGCCGCTGTCGCTGGAGTCAGTGGATAGAGCGAACGGTACATCTGGCCGAGCGCCGGACGGAGAGCCCGACCCGCTCCACGCGGCACCCACACTCAGCTCCCTTACATTCGGAGTCGTGTATGTACCTGGTTGTTGGGTTGTTCGGACCTGACAAGATCAAAGTTAGTAGCTATTTATAAGGGGTTCAAAAAGCCCAGCGTAAGTAGACCCGCGTGTCTGTATAATTAGTTAGAGCCGTGAGTCCAGGTTATGTTGGTCGATAAGAAAGATCGCGCGTGTAGAAGCAACAAAAAATCATACAAACTTATACATTTATAACACTAGTACGGTTGTTAGGTGTAATTGTTTAATATATAGAACAATGTACGAATTCCTAGTACTGTTGATAGCATCTCGCATCTAATACAAACGTCAGCCAGGGTTGCGGGGCAAGCTCAATAGGGTACCGCGGCCTTGGATTGGAGCAGGAGAATGAACAGGTTGGTTTTTAGTCAGTTGGAGTCTGACACTCTCTCTGGCACTACCCTGGGCGAGAGAAGTCATTTGATGATTTTCCCCTCACTAAAAAAATAAACCTATGCAGTTCCGTAAATTTTTTACATAGGGTTTTCGACTTTATACTGATAGAAATTAAGTGGAAAATTTAGTTTAGAGATGAGGTGAGTTCCTTAGTTCGTTTAATTGATAAAAATAAGAAATCAGTTGTGTAAATTAATGGTTATTTCAGCAAGACAGTTATCTTGAAAATATTTTTTGCGCGTTGTTAAATATAATCAATAGATATCGGTTGACGAATATAATAGGTACCTACCTACTCTTAGTACAATATTTTATCTTGCAGTTACTTTGAAATGGTGACGGTGGCCTAGTTTTGTCACTAAAAACAATTACGCTTTATTGGGTCAAATTTTGATAAATATCTTTGTGTCTATAGTTAGTTTTTGTTTGTTCAGTTAAAAGCTTTAGAAATACAGGTTCGAATTGAAAATATTTTTTTGTGTTGGATATAAGAAGGTTTAAAGCCATATAAACATTATACTACGACCAAAATGAGGTGAGCAGCGAGTAAAATTGCATTGGGTAACTAGCAGTCATTTATTTGTTCCATTTCTTAATTGGTTTTTCTGTTTACCAGTTACCGATTCAATGTTATTTCTGATTCACCAGCAACGCAATACTAAATTCCTTCACCATTATTATACTTATAAACTTTCAATCGATCTATCTTTAAAAAAAACCGCATCAAAATCCGATTAAAGAATGCATAGGAATATAGGGACTGAAAAAACGACTTTGTTTTGTACTATGTAGCGTTAAGTTACTATGTAGTGTAGGTCATTATATTACCTGTAGTCCTAAGAAATTGGTGTGGTTGTGTGTCGTCTGTGGCGAGTCGAGTGCGTCGGAGACGTGAGGCCACTCTGACTCGCTGCCACCTTCCAACCCGTTCTCTGACGGACATTCTTGTGGCTGACGTCTTAATTCATAGTCTAATTCCTGAAATTATAATAAATTAGAGAACATTACTTTGCTTATTAAGTAAAAAAAACAAAGCGTGGTTTGTCGAAGGTAAATAAAAATTCACTGTCTGAAATTGCGTTGCACACCTTTATTTTAATAATTTGAATACCGCTGCTTCATAAGCAGAGTGGACGAAGGGCAAACTGTGTTTATTTTAGTTAAATTAAAATGTTGAAATTTAATGTCAATAAATTATGCGTTTGACATGATTAAAATTAGACGTTATAGGAATTTCGGGTGCAAATAAGGCGCCACATTTGTTTTACCACTCTGATTAAAATTAAACAGTGTCCAAAACCTTCTGTTTTGATTTCTTTTTGATTTGTGTTTCCAATTACACTGTTTGAAAGAAGAATGGACGTCACATTAATTTATAAATGCACCACGAATAAAATATAACTCAAATAGAATAAAAAAAATGCATTAGATACCTGAAAGTTAACAATCTCATCATTAGCGATGAGATTATTGATTTGCGGCTGTCCAGCGTTAGTGGGGCACCTGAAGAACTCTTCAAGAACCTTCCTGGTCTCCGAGAACTCGTACAGGTAATCGAAGGCCGCTGACCCTGATGGTGGACTAATGTCTGTGTTCTCTGGCACTACCCTCTGGAAGGGAGAGGAAGAATAGAGAAAGGAGGTTGCAGTTATGACTAATTCTAACATTGGAAAGATGTTAAATTAGGTATAATATACACGAATTATTTTTTTTAGAATAAAATTGGAGCTAGATAAACGTTTGTGATTTGAGAGTATCAAATGAGTTGTGTCGATAGTAATTCTAGTAATATAAACTGTAAAATTGTAGATAATAAATCAAACTGATAAAAAAAGTATCTGATTCATAACATGACGGTGCGGATATGTTTCTTTTCTTTCTTATGAAACGGTTGATTAGGATTATCGGTGACTTAGTAGACCTTAAAAGGAATACAATTTAGTCTTTGCCTGGCTTCGTTGGTTTAGTGGTCGCGAATCGCCCTTCCGATCAGGCATTACGTCAAGGAAAAAATTGTTTTTAAGGGTTTTGAAAATGTCTCTATAATGGCACGCAGCCGAGATCTATGGCCGGTATTTATGGCCGAAGGCTCACCTTTTACTACATGGGACTCATAACATATCTTGTGTAAAGTCCGTATACGTTATATGTATATGGTCTTATGCACCCTCTGTTTTATCCTTCGTGGGCAAAATACTTAACAATGCATAAAAAAGTCACCTGCATTTGATTTAAGCAAGTTGTGTACCATAAGATTCTTTAAAACGCGTTTACAACATTTTATCTATTGATAAATAAAGCAATTAAGATAAAACAAACCAACTAAATATTCTATTACAAATTTAAAAGTAAAATCTAATTTTACCTGTGGGAACCCAGGCCTCGGTGACCGAGTAGGCTTTTGCGTACCAACGCCGTATCTTCTAGGTGAGCCCTCGTACTCAGCGATGGGCAATTCACCAATGACCCTGGTCACCCTTGACTTGTCCTCGTCCCCGGACAGCCACGCGGCAGACGGACTCGCATCACTCAACCGGACCTCATCCCGCGACGGACTCGACTCACTCCCATCACTAATCTCACTTTTATTGTTCAACACATCACTATCACCGTTTTTAATATTGTCTAAAGTTCTCTTAACACTGATATCAATCTCATCGTCACTAGCTTCTGGTTCCGTCCTCAAACCTAGAGACACAGAATTCAATATCACTGAAAATAAAAGAAAGAGAAAACAAAGTTGTATGAATAACAATGGTTATTGGATAGGATGGTTAAAGGTTTTTTTTTTAATTTGCTGTAAACTTTTGTTAATCATACAAACCGCCAATGATATCAATGACACAGAAAATGCACCCCCATTTAGCAAAGTGACTTTAGCACCACGCACAAAAATATTACATTAACGAAAAGAAAGTAAAAAAAAGAAATATTTACAACAAACACACAACATGAAAACAAAAAATGCAACATATGAATAACCTGATAATTGTACTTTTTTTCCGAAGTGTTCTAATTTCAAAAAATACCAGCCAGTATTGAATACTCTGTGCCTGCCCATAGACAAATATTACACAGACATGGCAAAAACAATATTGCAGTTAACAAAAGTTTACAACACTTAAAATTATTCACAAAATGGGTGTTAGAAAGGTGAAAGCAAGAGCAAAGATAAATATAAAGCAAAAGTGAATAGTGATTGAATTAAAATTAAAACACAAAAAACATGTGACACTTGAGTACACATAAAGTATGTTTTTATTATATACACCAGCTCAATTCAGAAAGCAATTTATATTTTATTAATTTATTTTTGTAGCCATTCATTTATTTTTCTGACACAAAGCGACTGCAGACTTTTTAGATCGACATTCGATCTATTTCACGTAATGTTATCTTTGCTAAATATAGATTTAAAAATAGTAATACTCAGTAATATTCAGATATACTTATTAATTTATTACCTGTGTAAAATGCCACTAAACTCTGGCTTGAGTTTGACTTGTGACATACTTATACTAAATTTAAAAAAAGTCTGCATTCACTTTTTTTTTAAATAACATCAAAAGCAAATTTACCTTTCCAATCATCACTGTCATCAAAGACCACGACTTCTCCATCAGCCACGACAGCAATGGGGCTGCTTTTAGTGCTGACGTCAGTCGTCTTATGGGGATCAAGGATGGGGGAACTATTCTTCGGAATCCCCATAGCACTCTGTTCTAGTATGACGTCATGATCCCCGTTCGTGTACGTCGGCGATGTGTGTCGGGATATCATTTTCTTAGGCTCATTGTTTATTCTGTGCAGGGATATCTGTAATAGAAATTGTTTTATTTTATTAATTAATATGGAATTGGTTATTAATTGTCATGTAGGTATATAAAATTTTTTGTGTAATAAAATTCAGGGACTTTGTATTACAGAGTGAGATGTTGTAAACAGAAACGAATATGAGTAAAGTTTTATTAGAATAGTACTTAATTATGAGTAATTTACCTATAGGTTATTATGTAGATATGTATTTTAGTGAGTCAAATATAATACAGTTATGAAATCAGTCATATATGTATAAAACAGTTAGGAAAGAAAAAAGGTCAAACATATCGATTGGCATATATATTATCCCTTAGCCCTATTATAAGTATACATCGTGCCTTCTATTTTTTGACACACTTAACTAGCAAGAAAGAAGAAAGACAGAACGCAATTAAAAATTACCATAAACATATTTAACGCCAATTGCAAAGGCGTCAACATATCGAGGATCATTTTTATTATTCCTTCACCTATCCACTTTTAAAAAATCAAACAGTCACTGTACATTTATAACAAAAAAAAACTAAACTGCAAAAGTCTGTAATAAACAGTTTTTTCCGATACAATGGCTTGTATTGATGTGACATTTATCCAGTGCACTTATCTGAGTGATAGTTCCATATATCTATTTCATTTACGAGATAAAAATTAAGATTATTATATGGGGAGATGTGATAACGTGTGATATCTCTATTGGTCATATAAATCTAATATTGAGTGTGTAGGGTTAAACAGGAAGAATGGGACAGAAACGTCGTATAATTTATTGCAATAGGTACCTGTATATATTTAGAAAAGTGCATACCTATGTGTGATTTATTTGCTTTTACCCTAAAAGATACAATTTTATTGATTTTTATTAGAAGCGTATTAAAAATAAAAAAGAGGCTGCTCTTTTTTTTATTCAAAATACCGACTAAGAACTGATTTTTCAACAGTCAGATAAATGTTATCTGAGGAATAAAATTGTTGCTGTCACTGTCTCATACAAACATTTTGACGCGACAGCATCATAAGAATTATTCCCTAGATAACCTTATCTAACCATTGAAAAATCAGCCCTTATTATAGTAATTTCAAGTCATAAAACTCTTATTCCTGAAGAAGTATTAAGTCGTTACATACAGAAAATTTTATACGTACCTATGCCTCACGATACACAATCGACTAAACAAAAATATAATAGTTTACTCGTAGTACGTTTAATTTGATTATTCAAATTATAGTTCGTTCCATAATTAGAGACAAAGATTTGACATTTCGAGTGTTGCATATTTTTTCCATTTCATAAATAGTAAAGTCCCGCGACCGGTATTTACTGAAAGACCGAAATTAAATTGTGTAACTATTACTTATTAGCATTTATATAATTATTTTACAAGAAACTATGGTCTGCTTTGGAATTCCCTTACAGCAATTTCACAGATGGAATGTCAAACATAATTTAAGTCTAGAAAAAGGTTGGTATTGGTTTCTATAATCATAAAAATAATGTCTGTCAGTCAAATTGTAATATTTTTTCTTCAGGTAAAAGTACCTGACCATCACCAAGTCAGTCAGACAAGCCTTACACAAACCTAAAGTTTTGGGTCATTAAAAGTAAAACATGGAATAAAGAAGAAAGGCGAAATCAAAACTCAATTTTATGGGGGATTTACAAGTGATTGATATGCGGCGGCAATTCTATTATTTTTCTACTTTTTTTTCAAGTATCACATTAACCAGTTAATGTCGGATAAAAAAGATATTTGAAATGAAAAGTTATATTTCTGCCAAGTACAGCATTATTGTAATAAAATCAGTTTATGTTTGTTATTATAATTAAATGCCAATTCCAATTGGAACTTCGTAGGAGGGAATAAGAACTTTTCTAGAGTGGTATGGAGCGTTGTCGAACACTAGCACCGAGTTTTCTTTAAATTGGAAAAATCCCTTTCAACCACTCTTATATTGCTCCGAATTCATTTTTTTTTTTGTATTAATCTTCAAGTCTTATTTGGAAAGGCAATGTTGTCGGTCGGCCAGCCACGGCCCACCGCGTGCAATTGACCGACAGGCTGTAGGTGTAAAATGATTGGCAGTAAGCCCTAAACAAGGTTATTTTGACTTTTGGCTCCTTGGAACATCTGGCAAACCTGTTCCCATTCTATATCTAGGTCATCTGTTAGGTCTTCATTAACAACATGTCCAAGGTACACAAACTGAGCTTGCCTTAGCGCCACCCCATTGAGTGTCACAGGCGGTACAAATAAAGCATTGATTTGCCCCGTCCGAAACACTGACAACTAATTTTTTTGACGTTGTATGTCAATCCATGTGCTTCAGCATATGCCTCATACACCTCTAGGAGCGCAGGGCACTTATCGATGGGCTCAACAACACCATGTCATCGGCGTAACTAATGTTGTTAAGTATATGAACATTCATATGTTCAGCCCTCTGCCTGACTCCACATTCCAGTTGATAGGGATCTGACATGGAGTCTGCCCATCTAACAAAATTAGTCTGGTGACTGTACTAGTAGGTACTCGAAAATCCCAATTATAGCGCCGGCAATCTATTTTTAATTAAAAAAAAAAATACTTAAAAAGAACGTTATTGGTAGGTATTTTAAAACATCGTACTCGGGTCCATCACTATGTGAAAAAATCTGGCCACATTATTTTGTAGTTTGACATTTGCGGTTGTCAAATCGTTGTCTCTAATTATGGAACGAACTATAGTTTGTATTCTTTTGTAAAGATTGATCTGACACATGTTTTGTTTCAATTGTTTTTTATCATATTGGTACTAAGGACCGAACCATCCCAGCTTAGCGGTTACACTAATATTACGCAGAGGTAAAATTTATAAGTTTGCATGTAGGGGGTAATGTTTGGAACCACAGCACTAATTGGATTTCGACAATTCAAATTCGAATTATTTTCACAGCTAGATAGCTACAATGTTCCTGAGTTCTATAAACTATAAATTATATTTGATTTGATTTATTTTAGACAAGTTATCGCTTTAACCGCTGCTGTTATTATACGAAACCGCGGGCGGAAGTTAGTCTTATATATAAAAATGGATCGCAAAATGTGTTGGTAAGCGCATAACTCAACAATGCCTGGACCAATTTTGCTAATTCTTTTTTTGTTGTGTTTGTTACTGTCAGGAGAAAAAATTTTTGATACGTAGAGGGTAGAGTTGGGTTATAGGGACCCTTTCATCATAAGCGAGATGATGAGATCCATGCGAAGCAGGGGCAAGCTGCTAGTTTTTATAAAGTGAAATCTAAGTATAATAATATTTATTTTATAAGGACATATCATATTGAAAACAGCTTTAAACAACCTAGACCAATTACTACATATACACTAAGTACTCGTATATAAATAAAATGTTGCTACTAGGCATTCATAAAAACGCAGTGTATCTTTCTAGGCAGGGATTTCACACACGCTTGGCACCCCTTTGAAATGTCGACGTATAGCCAGTGTCGGCGCCAACTAGCCGGCAAGCGACTCGTGTGAAAGGGCAAATTGTACTTATTTCTTTAAAACCTCAGCCCCTTGGTTCAAAAGCGGTGCAATGACGACACACCACAGAGAAATGAGAGCGAAATAAAACTGTGAACGTGATATTTTTTTAAGAGTTGAGTACTTTGTGTTTCTTTAAATATATATTTGGGTTGATGAAATAACACACACATTAAATCACCAGCCTATAAGTGCCCACTACTGAGCAAAGGATCTCTCAAAAGGAGAAGGTCTGAGCATTAATCCCCACGCTTGCTTAAGGCGGATAGGCGATTTCAAACTTATAATTAGAAATTATAAGTCCTAGTTTCCTAAAGATATTTTTCTTGATTGTATGTTAAAGGTGTCTAAGAAATAGTACACATAACCCGGAAAAAGTCAAATTGGTCCTTGCCAGGCTTCGGTACCACACCCTCATATTTGAGAAGCGCCTTAACCTGCAGGCCACCACGACGATGAAAAAAACTAAGTTTATTCATCAAACAGCCATTTGGTATACTTTAGGAGGTGTGTGTTGCCTGAAGGCGTAAATAAAACAGAATATAGGCAAGATCTTAGTGAACATCTAAGTGAGGATTAGCTGGCCGATTAAGGTAGGCGTGAGAAACATAAGATGATGATTTTTGTTATTCCTTATACTAGTAAACCGGTTTGTAGAACAATTAAGAGTAAATTTCATAATTAATGAATATTTAAAAGGGCTAGTAAATCTGAAAACGTACACATTGTCATCAAAAATCTATACATACCAAAAAGGCATGCAAAATAATTACACAAAAAATATTTTTTTATTAAATCTATATTCCTTCTAACTCACCATTATAATACCAATCCAAATTCAAAAAACTATAGTGTTGTAGATACTTCTTAAAAGGTGTTGGAAAATTCCTAAACACATAGCGTCATGCGGGACATTCGCAAAGAAAAAATACTCGAAAAAAAGAGTTTCTAATTAAAAATTCTACCTCATTACTAAGGTTATCGGCTGCGTAGTCGACGGTGTCTTTGCTGAGGGAGCGCACTTTGTTCCTCAGGTTGTGTTTGTGCGTGTTGTTGTGTCGCAGCTTGCGTACCGCCTTCGTCCGGCTCTGGGAGTACAGCTCGCGACCTCCTGCGATTTCTATGATCCTGGTAACGAGAGAATTAACGGTAAGAGCATTTGTATGATCAGGTAATAGATATCTTTATTGCAAAAAAAACTAACACAGGTATCCATCTTAACATGAAACAAACAAATTAAGTAGACTATCTTTGAAATATATCATGTATTATTAAGATGGAGTGATCATCTGTGTATGTGCACACATACATTTATATTTATTTATTTATTTATTTACACTTTTGCACATACATCTGTGTACAAGGTGGACTTAATGCCACAGGCATTCTCTCCCAATTTATACTGTGTTACAGAACAGTTTTTTGAAAAGTTTTGTCTTGAAAAACCAATATTCTCGTGTTTATTTTCAAAAAATTATTAGTTTTATTTTATAGTCATACAATTAGGTAACCAAACCTTGTGAAAAAACTACAAACCACGTGATGGTTACATTGTCTTTTTTACTTTTTAAGAGGGCAGAAAAGCATCTCTTCCTTTCTTGAATCAAGACAAAATCAGTTAAAATTCTTTGGTTGTACTACGCTTGGCATATTTGTCATTAAACCTCTGCAGATATTCGAAAATATTTATTCAAATAACTACATAAATTTACAAAGTATCGACCTTAAGTAAACAAGAATAAAGTTCAAGTCTAAAATTGGTTACATAACATTTGAACTTGGCCAAAATATCCTAAATACCGAACAATCCTTGTAGAGAAAGATGTTAAAACTATTCAGAGCTAAGACAAAGGATTTCTTAGAACAGAGTAACACACGCTTATGTGACGAATACTTGATGTCATACTTAGTTCTATAAATAAATCCTTTACATAAGCATTACGTGAGCAAAAGATACCTCATAGCAAAAATTTTAATTGGGTGTTGGAAATGTACAAAGTTTTTTTATAGTACTCATTTCTTTTACAGAAAACGGTGTAAAACAGTAGTCTTACTTTCAATCCTACTTCCTACTACATATTATGAACGTGAAAGTTTCTGAGAATGTATGGATATATGTTTGTTAATCTTTCACGCCAAAAAGGGCTGGACCGATTTGGTTGAAATTTATTGGTATGGTAGATAGGTGATAACCTAGATTAATACATATGCTGCTTTTTATCAACATACCACGGGGGCAAAGCCGCGGGCGGGAAGCTAGTTAACTAATAATTGGGCATTTCATACTTGAATTAGGGAGCATATATGTATATCTTGGTTCGTTTACAATTTATAGCATTGTATTAGTCCATTAGTACCTAGGACTAATAACATCATAAGTGGCGAAAAGAGGTTAAAACCTATGTGGGTCTCCTTTCTAGAAATCGAAGACGTGACGTCATACAAATGAACGATTACCTAGAATCCCTAAGTTTATAGGTGCCTCCCTTCGAGTTGAGTATGACAAGCTGGCTCTCGTTGCCTCGCTCCTCGTCAGACGAGGCGTTGTTCACATTGTTGGTGTCGCGATCGCGACCCTCCAAGCTGGAGGTCAACCTGAAATATTTCCACGAATACATTTTAATAGTATAGAAGTACTCACAAATAAATACCCCCTTTAAATAACAAGATAAATATTTTTGTTACTATTAAAGAACAAAATGGCAACACTGATAAATATTATATTCATAATTTCTGGACAAAGAAAACAAAACATGTTACAATTAAAAAAGTCTTTCTTTACCTATAAAAAAAAAACATAAAGCCGTTCTTTGAATTTGGAACAGTGTGTTTCTGTCTAGTAAAATTTTAAATAAATGTTCCAATTACGTTGCAAGATCAACATTGCAGTCTTTCGGATGAAGTTGCTTGTATTTTAATGTGTTTGCACACCTAAGATGGCGGCAATCGCAGTCTGTTTGTGAACGTAAAATGCAATAATTAGTACTTAATGTGTATCTGTTCAACAGGGTGGTAAAAGGGTCCATTACGTGTCCACAATAACATTGGATGGATGTAAATTATGCTATTCGAGGATTTTACGGGATTATCATTATTAAACATTGTTAAAATATCCGGCGAAAAGACCGGGTTTCATAAGCGAACATTATAGGGAACTTGGCTATAGTTATTGGAAGCTGTTGAATGTTTGTTACAGTAATTGTGCAACTGACTCATTAAAGCCTGTTTGGTTGTCATGATAAAAAATATGATAATGAACTGTGCTACACTGAAAATTTTATAGAATTTTCCAAAGCTAGTTAAAGCTAGTAAATGCTGCCTGCACCTTAAAGCTACGTGTAATAAACTAGGTATCTTCTTTTGGAACTTTTTGGTAGAAGCGCGTCTATGTAGTTTTGTAGTGCCAATATAATTCGCCACTGTTTTTAGTCCCAAGTACTGAATGGACATAATTATCTCATGGACGATTTAGCAAGTTGGTGTAGCTTAATATTAGCATGTTTTTCTGTTCATTGAGAATTCACTACATTTACATATAGGTACACTGAAGCAGAAAAGAGGCGAATTGCACACATATGCATATGTATTTCATAATATAACAATACAATGAAATTATTCACATGTATTTAAATAATTAGTAAGCTTTAAATGTTGGTGCAATCAGGCCTCAAGCGCGTCTAAGCGTTAGGGACAAGCCAAAGTGGAAGATTACCTAATATCTAACTAAATACAGGAAGAACTACTTCAACTAATTGAGTGTATGGTTAGTATAGCTAGGGTACCTGTCGTGTGCGTGCTGCATGTTCTTTGGGCGGCACTTGGGGAAGAGCCGCGTGATACGCTCGCCAACGTCCGAGCCGGGCGTGGAGTCGCCCGCGCCGTCCGCTCGGAGCGCGGCCGCGCTCATGTCGCCAGCACCGCCACGGTCACACCGCCACCGCCTCTACCGGCAATAGGTGCCGCTACGTTAGTTATTAGTACGAAAACACAATAATATAAAACTACAAGTAAGTAACAAAAACATTAGTCTATATACTCTAATAACTTAAGAAAAGTTTAAACATTATGATATAATACATATTAGGAAGGGTCATCACTAAACATGCTGATTACACACATTCCACATTTTTAGTATTATATATGTTTGAAATATTATTTAACAAATCTAAAGCAAAACGTCAAAACTAACTAAGGAATTCTAGATGAATAACGAAGGTGGAACACTAAGGAGTCTTCAGTTCACATTGATTTTAAATGGTTCTTTGGAAGAGAAAAGAAAAATATTATAAAGGTAACTTAATACATCAACGGTGTTATGTCCGTTATGAACAGGCATTTAATGATAAAATATTATATTATGTCCATCACTTTAAATGTACAACCCGAAGCGCTTTTGAATAATGTAATTACATTAGTTTTCGGCACTGGAAATAACTGCATCCAACTCTGTAGTTAAGGGCCGGTCAGCCAAATTACATTTATTTGATTTAATGAGTTCAAAACTGCATACGAAATCGAATCGTATATATGTGTGTATGTGTAACTAATTTTGTCTGTCTGTTAAACTTTTAATGACCGAAGAGATATTCGTTCTGTTTTGAAATTTAGGGAATAGTTTATCCACATTTGCTAGTGTCTACATACTGCAGAATTTTCAAAAGTTCTTTAATAGGTAGGTACGTCGAAACAAATATTTTGATATTTTCAGACCTCACTCGTTTTCAGACAATCTTTCAAGTCCAATCTATAAAATAAACATAGATGATTTGCAATAAAAGTTGGTACGCATACAACAATATATCAAGGTCAAAAATATAACTAAGATAATTTTGGAAATTTCCTTAAACCGAGTTTGTGATTGATTAATTTTTGATTTTATATTCCGTTCATCATATACAAACAAACAAACAAACAAAAAGTATTTATTCGCGTCTGGGACGATATCGATAAATATTCCATTTTATATTACGATTGAGTGACGAGTTTGATAAAAATCAGTTTAGTAGTTTCCATAATTTGAATACTTTAAATATTATATAAAAGCCCGTGCTATGTAAACGTTCTTTATTTGAAAAATCCTAATAGCTACTAACAACTCAATTTCGTTTGTAGGTCCTTCTTATCCACATTTTCCTACGCTACATTGTCTTAGAGAACACTATTAATGCAAAGGCTAATAAAGTTTAATTTTGTCTGGTTCCGCGCCAACCCTCGTAAATGTATCCCAATGTTATTTGACCGTTAGCAGTATCTATGTAAATCAAATACGGATCGCTTCTCCAATTTCTTTGAGAAATGTAACCTCTTTGGTAGTAAATTTTAGACTAGGCATTACTGGAGTGAAACACGGACAGAAATATGGAGAACGTGGAGTTTGGAGCGTATCTGACGAAAATATTCAAGATGGCAGAATATTGGAATGGCGTGGCGTAGGTTGCACATACAACGCGGTTCAAACTCTGAACAGCAGATTGTATCTTAAGTAGCAAGGAATTTAAGAAATTTATAGCAAAACTTCTCAACTATTCATCGTTATCGTTTAAGAATCAATTACGATCAGTAAAAGTAGTAAAGAAAGAAAGAAAGAAAAAGTTGATTGACACAAACCATATGCACACAGACATAGTAACAAAAAGGTTATTTAATATAAAAGAAAAAATAAAGAAAACTACATAACTGTGTGCCTCACAGCTGCGCCGTAGTACCTAACATAATTTTACATTGCAGACTAATTTCGGTTACTAACCATCAGCTTGAAGTGCAAACCGTTCTTTCCATAGAAATAATTGGCAGAACCGCCAAAACTGCAGCCATAAATATGGTAGATTACATTCATTGTGCAAATAATAATAAAAGGAATAATGTGCATAGCTTAGGTACCACCGCTCATGTTAATAGCTCCTAGGAACGTTTTGGGTTTTATCACTGGTTTTCGGCCAAGGCACCGAGCTGCCGTGGTATTGGGGGCACGGGCCAATGACGTGTTCCGCATGGCACCGACTGTAACCGCTGCCAAACTACCAGATCGATAGAACATTAGCGTTGCGCCCACTAAATCTGCGAGCGTTCAGCGGTAGCGGATCTACTGTTTATAAGGGACAATGAAATACAAAACAGTAAAATATTATGATCATTGAAATTAACTTGATATTTTTTGTAATTATTATATTGTCCATAGTTCTTAATTTAGTATGATGAGGTCGGCATTATCCATCGATTAGTCAAGAGAAGAAACAGCGGTATGAACTTAAAGGTCAGTCCCATGAAGTGTAGATAGATAGAACCTATAAAGAAAAATGATTTAAAATAATAAATAATGCCTTAAAGCCGCTTAGAGTCTTTAATTTAAAATCAGTATTGGTACAATACTTGGTTCAATATATTGGTTCAATTCCGTGTTAATATTGGTCAATTGGCCTACATTTTCGAGACATTGGAAAACGATTACGCATTTTTCAATTGACTAAAGAGGTGACCTGACCCATTTTCGGACAAATAACCCGTATAATACAAAAACATGGCAATGTTTGTTTCTACTGTTTTTCCCATTGGCAGCAATACGGATTAAGCTTTAACGGCTAACACGATTTTTATTTTACGATTAATGCTCGAATTCACTTACTTTAATTATTCTGTTTTATTTTGTTCGTGTAAAATGTTGATGTATTTAGGTTACAAAAATCGTTTGTGTCTGTTATGTTAAATATAAAGTTTTGAAAGAATAGGGATAAACTGATTCATCAATTGTATTATAAACTGCTTTAAAAACTAGCAGTTAGTTAAATGGAAATGCTAATCGCTGTCATAAATAAAGCATTCAACACACATCCATAACAATTTAAAACATAAGTTGTCACATCTAGAAGATTCGAGCACTTCATATAAGCAATACTTTGGCACAGATGCCTGATGTCTGATGTCTTCAACAAACATTCGTACGAAACATTTTCTGCAGCGCTGGCGTATAACTCAACTTATGCTAGGTTTATGGAATACATTTTGCCATACGAACGTAACGAGCTGCCGCGACTTTTATGGCCCAAAGTAGGGTTGCCAAATCAAAAATCAGAGGGCGCACCAACTTGTTAATTTGACTGAGTATTTTTTCGCTTCATTAAACTTGAGTGACTTTTAAATAGGATTTCTTGAAAGTGCTCTGTCAACTGTTTTTGCTTTAGAAGTAGTGTAGCTAAACTACTTTGAGATACAAAAGTATAGGCTAGAAGTAGAAAACGAAGTCCAAAGCAGATGTTTAATAAAGCTACCCTTTTCTCAATATTTTTGTCCCTGTCGACTGCGCCCCAAGGGTGGGTTTATGCGAACTGTTTTTATTGCGTCAGACGATACAGGCTGTCACAGCAAAACCTTTTTTGTTGGCAGGCCATGATGCAGGGAAATCAGCTTACAACCCGCGGCCATTTTGAATCACAAAGGCTAGTTTGAATAATGTTTTTCTCGAATGCAAGTTTCGGTGCAATTATTTAAATTTTATACCATTTATGGAGTTAGCGTGGTTCCTTGGCTAAGAAAATTTTCATCTTGTTTAGTTTTCAGTTTATTGGTGATTGTAATTTTGAATAACTTTCTTATCAAAGGATGACAGTCGGAGATGGGATGTCTATGGGGGAACGATTAGCTAACGATGTTGAATCGAGAAACGGAATCTTTCTGGCTTTTCGATGGTTCGCCGGTTTTTTTTTAGGTTTTATTATATCCCAACGTCCTGGGAAATAGGTAATACAAATGAAAACACCTACTGCTCATATAAAGGCTACAACCAATTTATTTAGTTCGAATAAATTGAATTTGCAGTGGAATAATATGAGAGTTACGTTGAAGGAAATTGCGTTATCCATTGCAAGAAATGCAAGAGAAATAACAGTCAGTATTTATTTATCGAATGAAGCGTCTACCAGTCTGCCTTAGTGAAAAGATTTAAATGTATATTTGCGATTTCTCACCGTATCCCTTGTTATTTTTTGCGACATAACCTCAAATTCAGGCGAAAACATACTATCCCAATAATATCACAAAATAAAATTTTATATACGCCTGCCAAATATTTGACTTAATTTTACAACATTCCAATTTCAGAAACAGATCAGCCGGTCGTCGAAGCTTTTGCTAGAAAGTCTCCCATTATATTCAAGTAAAAAAGAAATGAATTTTATTGATATAAGGTTTAATATTCGACATTTCACATCATTCCAATTTCAAAACACGTCAGTTGATCATCGAAACCATCATTGGCCATTGATTGGCTTACTGCCAAATATTTGACTTAGGGCTGATTTTTCAATAGAATAAATTTTTTGCTCTCACTGTCTTAAACAAACAGTCTGACGCGACAGCATCATTATTATACCCCAGGTAACTTTTGAAAAATCCGCCCTTAATTTTATAACATTCCAATTTTAAAAACATATAAGTTGATCGCGACCATCTTCTGCTAGAAAATCTCTCAACATCTCTGAAAAATGTGTCACGCATGACAAGTTTATTAATAATATAAAATTGAAAAGATTGCGTCGTCGGTTTAATCAAATTTACTTTGTCTCGTATTTCTAAAGAGCAATCTACAAACACTCGATATTATAGGGATCCTTCGCAGAAAACTTGTTATTACCGAGATTACAAGCCAATTTCCTTTCAAGATACATGTCCCTTACATCAAATTACGTTTTATCTTTCTTCATAAAACATGTGTTTATTTTCCGGACAGACGTTTCGCATTCTTCCCTCGGAATACCGTAAACATAAGAATCTCACATAAGTAATTATATTAATGCAATCACAAATTACTTCTTATTTAATATCCCCAAGACCAACGAAATCTTTCCTTTCAAAGCAAATGGAATCGACGTAATTCACATTAACAGAATTCGAACCCTTTCAGCGTACTTTAAATAGAACCTTTCAAGTCTCCAACCGAAATTAAAACTTAAATTTTCATTGCTAAGATATAATTTTGTTTAATATCTTTTACTGTTAGAGGGTGAGTGGTCGGAGTGACATGCCTTTTGGCTAGACGTCAGTACAGTTCGCCAATTAGCAAGTCTCTCACGGGGCTTGACTTATATTTAATGAATTTCTCAAAGAATGGGACACTCGAGTTCAGCGGTAATTAAAACCCCATATATAGAATAGGCGTGAGGGCCAAGCTGGAGTGCTCATTCATCTGTCACGGGAAACAAAAATTTAATATAATGGAGGGCGCCAACTACCGAATCTGACAAACTCCTGTACGCAGAATAATACAAATCCAAGGACATTGTGCTCTGCGCCGTTTCTTCTTGAACATTCTTTTGTTTTATTTTAAATGCGCATTTTTGGGCTTCTCCGTTTCAAATAAAACTTTTGTTTATTACACGTATTTAAAAAAAGTCTTTTATTCCGTATTATTTGACAGCTAGAAAGCCGAATGGAAAAATTTCGATGAAACAGGCTATGTAAAATATTGTGGGGGAAATATTCGAATTGAGTTTGGGATGGGTCAACTGTAACACATGTCGAGAGCGACAGGCCGCTACGGGATTGTAACGAAACACCTTCGTAACAGGAAAACGTCCGTTTAAAATGTAGGTGTTTGAAAAACACGAAACGAAAATCTATTTCAGCGTAGTTTCATATATTTTTTCTGGTTTGTTCCCAGCTAGATTTAGGGACTGAATCTGTAGCCTATAGTCAGTATAGATTGTCTACAACTCAACTGCAATTAGCTAAATTCAATATCATTGTTAATCTAAACTTAACTTTTAAACATACTTAATGTTTTTGTTCTTCAAAACTTTCAAAATACTTTGTAATAGTAACGAATAAAATTCACAAACTGATCAAAGGGTTGTTATGTATAAATAGGCGATATTCCATGCTTAAAACGTTACTTTGTAGCAATCAAACTAACTTTAGTTCTAAATGACAAGAAATTAGAGTGTGGGAGAGCCATGCTTCGGCACGGATGGGTCGGCTCGACCGGAGTGATACCACGGCCTCACAGAAAACCGGCGTGAAACAACCCCAGCGTTGTGTTTCGCCGTGTGAGTGAGGTTACCGGAGGCCCAATCCTTCCCCTTCCCGGACCCTTCCCCAATCCCTAAATCTCCAAATCCCTAATCCCTAAAATGTCGGCAACGCACTTGTAACTCCTCCGTTGCGGGTGTCCATGGGCGGCGCTGATTGCTTACCATCAGGTAATCCGTCTGCTCGTTTGCCGACTTATTACATAAAAAAAAATTGCTAAAAAAAGGTTTGTTTTATGTACAACATGTACATAAAACAAACCTTTTTTTAGCAATTTTTTTTAACAGTATCCCTGTTACTAACATGTACATAAAACAAACTACGACTACTTTTTATCATTGTGTTATAAGCTAACAAAATCCTAACAAAACGGCTTTACGTTAGAATACAAAGAAGATAAATGAAGCAAATATGAAAAGTAACTGGGAGACTAAATAGAGTTTGTGACCCGATAGTAATGTATTGACAAAATACGTTACGAGGTCGGGAGCGGAGAGCCGACATTTAAAAGTCACAAACTAAAGGTCAACGTCACGAAAGAGTTAGGCCGATAGACCCTTTGTCAACTACCCTCGTTGGTTTATAGAAAAAAAAGGTTATCTAGCTATAGGAGTTAATACAATACTTATGTCGAAACTTCCAATAAGTTCGCTAGCAAATTCACTTTTTATTCTCTTTTAGTTTTTCCGTTTTCGAAAACTTTGAACGCAGTTGAAAGTTTAGGTTTTGAGAAAATAAGGTTGAAATTATATACATAAACACTACTGTTTCCTAATGGATTTTAAATGAGTACGCGATTAGCATAATTACTTAGCCTTCAGCCTAGATTTACGTTAGAATTTGTGGACGAATCTAAGGTACAATTTGAGTCTAATGAGCAACTCAGGAAGAAGTTAAGGATTGCTTGGTGTTGTAGTGCATGGTAAGGAACTATATTTTGATCTTAACACATCGAAAAGGAATAACGATCCTCCTTACGCCCAAGCAGGAGCATGAGAAGGAACGCGTTATTTTTGAGTAAGTTAAAGTCTGACAATCCCGGATGACAACATTGGATGAATATCCAACTCTTAAAAATTATGTACCTCGAAAAGAAACAAAGCAACGTTTCACAATTCCTGAAGTCTTATTCCACTCATCTACCTATGTAAGAACATAAACTTCGAGTTGCCTACAATTTATTTCTTTTGAGTAGACGAGACATAACGGTCCATTTCAGGCAACATTTTTTAAATAGCATGCACTACACAATGATACTGGTAGACCGCCATGCTTCTATTTTTAAATGCAGCTACTGAAACATGACAGGTCGCGTTGTAAAACATAAAAATGCGAAATCTCTATTGTCGACAGCAAAAAAAAAGTTTTAAAAGTAGCAGCAAAAGTCTTTGTGTTGAGTTTGTAGCTAAATTCCGTGTAGTTAAAACCTGGGTTTGTTTTCAGGATATTAAGCTGTAATTAATGCTTGTTATTCTTTGACGTAGCTTTTACATACACAAAAAATAGCTTTGTTTGGATTCGGTTAGTATTTGGTAGATGAAGACAGTAATAAGGTAGACGTAGTTTTATTAGAGATAAATATAATATATATTGTGTCTATTTATATTTGTACCTAGCTATGTATCCATTGGTGTCAACATCTCTTATTTCATTTAGGTGGCTTACTTTAGCAACAATAAGTGAAGAAATGTAATGGAAAATGGACTTTACCTTGTCAGGATTTTGTTACAAAAATTTAAATAGTTTACGATGCAACAAGAATTATAGTTTAGGCATATTTACATACAATGTACGTGTCAGTCAGCACCACTGCGTGGTTAAATCTATTATTTAAATAGCGTTTTATTTAAATAGCAAAATATTCATCATAAATAAAACGAACATCCATTTGTCAAATTACATGTTTAACAAATAAACGTTCTTAATTTAAAATGAATGACAAATTAGTTCATTAATTTTGAATATTCATTCAGTGGCACTAATTTGTTTACGGCCAGTCTCACAGTTCAGTATCCAATAAATAAATTAAAATTGTAGCTAAGTTTGTTCGTCAAAACCAACTGTTCTCGGTCACACACTATAAAAAGTACGGCTTTAATTTCCTGAACATTAGGCAGAGTTGCAAATATTGAAGGCAATACCGAATTTTTGCTGTTATTATTACTATACGAGTGCCGTGTTTTGCGGAATAGGGCAAGCTTATTGAGCAAGCAGTTTATGCAAGAAATAAGTAGTATCAGAATTTAAAAATCAAATATTATTATTTAAATTCAGAACCCAAAGTTTACCAACTGTCAACTACTGCCCAACCAAAAAGGTACTACACTACTTCACAATAAAAACCTACTATTCAAATAAACTCCAAACATTATTCGTTCACGTTGTAACCAGAAGTTTCGTGACCATATTTTTACGTGAGAATGCTAATGTTTTACCTCATTAGTACAGTAAAAAGGTTTTATAGCTACATTTTTTGTGGAAAGGTGGAGTTTTGAACACTGGCTGAATAGAATCGATGGCATAGTAGAATTAAAAGCAAACTGAAGTTGTTACTTCTGAATTTAAATTGTCAAATAAAAATAATGTTTTTATTGATTCTTCACCTATGTTCCTTTTTATATGATTACCTGGTAGAACATGGTTGAGCGTATTTCAATGAGAAGGTACATAAGTATATACACTGTTTTTTTATTTTCATAATGTACGAATGTTCATATGTAATGTACGAGAATAGTGCTCCAAACAATTAATAAGATATTAACTTTAAGTATATAAAAATCATCAATGTTCGTTGCCTTGCTTCGTATCCTTTGCATAATAAATCTAAACATTTCTTTGTTTTTTTTTGCTTATAAGAATTTTCTAAATTAGAAGGCTAACAAACTAAGACAGACGTATTGAATATGAATGAAGATTAAACAAAATCCATACCTTTCCTCATAGTTGTATCCTTCTTAAACCTGAAACAAAGTAATTAATTATTAATACTTCTAAAGTGATAACAATTCGCGAACATCGACTTGAATAAATTATTTGTTTTCGTCTGCCATTTTGGAAATGGATCAAGCTGTAGATGTTGTCACACAGATACCAAGTTTGATCGTAAACATTACATTTGTTTACATTGCAGGAAAAATAGATGTAGATTTGGTAAATATAACTCGATAATATTCGATAGGTATAACATATTAAGAAATTTTACAACGGTCGGCGTTCTAAAATTAAAAAAATAAAAATGGAATCTTACCAACCCTATACAATATAACTTATAAGAATACAAACCGTTGCGTCACTTTATATTGAAAAAAATAGGGTTGCAAATTACCATGTCTTCGTAACCAAAAACATTTTCATATGCAGTAAAAAGAGAAATTAGCCTACATAATATTCTAAACCTCTTTTTATCGCATGTAAATACGGAATAAATAAGAATATCATACATTATGTATGAATGAAAGTTTGCCCCAATTTTCTTTTAACGCATGCCGAGGGCGTCAAGCAAGAGCTGCGCTTTAAATTGAGATGCAAATCTAGCGTCTAGTGGCGTAGACGATATTGAAAGCGCTGTAAAGTGAGTGTTGAGAGGGTAATTCAGCGCTTTGTGCTTCAAGTTTGCGTTACCAGAACCCCAGCGCGACACTTCGCTCACATAAATTCAGTTTTGGTGTATTTGGGTTAAGTTTCTGAAGGCATTTAGGCAAGTGTAGTAGCTGTACTCCTTCCTGTAAGCAAGATGACTTTCGAGTTGATAGCAAGATTAGTGTTAGAAATAGTCAAATATTAATTGAATCCAAGTAATTTTTTGGTGTTATAATTTTTGTGCGACGTGTGAAATTAATAAGTATGTGTAACACCTTACTCATGTAACTTTTTGGCGAGGAACACGACGAGGTTTAAGCTGCGCTTATTTCCATGGGCAGCTAATAATTTTTTGTCTCTGGTCTGGGTGTAGGTACGTATGGTGTGTTTGAGAATTTGGACGTTTGTAAACGCACCCACGAGGGAAAATCTCGGAGTGGGGCAAAGTTGAAACTTGTCAAACATTTAGGTGAGTAAGCCATTAAACATAATAAAGAATAACTAGAACAATCATTTTATGAAATACATTTTTCAACCGCGCAGTAATTAAAGAAGAAAGTTATCCATAAGTTCCTTATTTGGGTTCAAACATAAAGTGTTTGTCGCATGACGACCCAGCCTACCTACGGCAATGTTAGTTATACACTTTTCAACCTAATTACTAACAGCACAGGGTTGAATATTATGGTCAAACACCAACAAAGTAAAGTACGTCACTTGAGATCCGTTATCATAATTGGTGTGCCACCAATCGATCGCTCCAAAAGATTTAATATTAAAGGTGTAATTGACGGAAAATTCGACGAAATCTAATTTGAGTTTGAAGCTTTCGGAGTGGGGAAATGTTTCCTAGCTAAGCCGAATGCAAAGTGATTTATGTGAAGTCGAACTGTAAACACTAGTTAGGTATTTGTCTTCGTTAGAGTAGCGAAATGGAGTAATGTGGGCAGATAGATATATTGATGTATGAGATACTTAATGGATTTTTGGATAGGTAAGCTTTCATATATGACGGCATCAGTATGGATCATCGGCATCATATAGAGTTGTGGTGCTATCAGTAATTAATGCCACAGTTTTATAAATTGATTCATTCGGTTTGCCAATTATATCATTGCTGGAAACACGATCTTATGCATTAGTACAATAAAGTAAAAACAGCGTTACAATTGCAAATAGAGTACCTATCTACCTTTTTTGTTAGGAAAGTGTCGGATTCTGGCCCTGTTGGGCACCGTCTGTGGTGGTCTATACGAGGCGCGCGTTGAACGCTACACGCTTTGAGCTATTCTTGATCGCCGTGACCGCGCGAAATACGAGTATGTATCTCCATAGCAGTAATATTCCATATCAGAAGATATGTGACGCTAAACTTGTTTGTGTTGTGAGGTCAAAAGCATGAAAGATTGCCTACAGTCCACGTAGCTTCTAGAAATTTTATAGACTCGTTCATCATTCTGCAATATAATACATAAGACATACAATCGGACACAAAAATCAAACAAAATTCTACTTAAACTTCAATACTAATTACTTCGATAAATAATTACGTTCGATCTCAAAGTCCTGCTAGGTAGATGTCCCGGAGGCACTGATATCAAACGTTTCTGGGCCGATTACGTTGAACAAGCTCCCACCCTGCGCCGGTCAACCACCCCGACCGAGCGTTCTAATTGCATACCCGAAACGCCTACCAAACAGCTTTATTAAAATGTAATAATATTCAATAATGTTGAAACGGCTTTATTAATATTCTAATAACATTTTAGATGAGGACTTGGGTAGGTGACGATTGCTGAGAGGCGCTCATTGGATTGGCAAGCTGTTTAATGGACCTTCTTGTGTCGTGTTCAGGTAGTTTTTTATGATTAGTTGGTACAAATATGTACCTTAATTGGTAGGTACAGCGTGTAGTTGGTTATTAATACCCAAAACAAAATGAAATCTTACGACGGCTCAAAGAAAATTTACTGCAGATGAAATATAAGATTAGAGGAAACACACAAATGTCCCCATTTGTGTGTTTCCTGTATTTGTGGATCATGTGCCATCATTCAAACCTCTAGACCCTTAAGCGGACGAAAGGTATGATGACAATAAAAGAAAGTGTGGCAACACTTAGTGTTGCCACACTTTCTTTTATTGTGAAACTTTTCAATCATCAAACTTTTCGTCGTACATGTGTACCGTCTCTTGATAAAGCTGGTTGCTTATTGGCCACCTTATCAGGTGACCAATCTTTTCAAGTAAATTGTTGGTGATTTTAAATACCTAGTGAAAAATAGCTGTTTCCCTATCTTAAATATAATAAACCTACCAATTACGTCAATAAACAGAGTACGTTGAAATCAAAAGCAGTTCTACGAAGGTTAATCGTGAGGTTAGCGGTTGTTTGGTAACTAATTCCAGAGCCTAAGTACACAATAGACGAGGTGTTTAACTTTATATTAAACTTGTAAGATGTGGTTGAATATAGATTAGTTAGGATCACCCTTTGCGTCACGCTCAACCAGCCATACCATTTCAATTAAAGTAATAGCCGAGATTAGCCGTTTGCTGTATGGTAACGGCATAAAATTCATTTATGAAGAAAACGAGTGTATACCAGACACTCCAGGCTCGAAGTCGGCCGCCCCACCAGAACCAGACTCTAGCGTATAGGTGCGGCGCGTAACGTTCCGCGCGTGCCTCAAAGATCCAACAGACAAGTGGTGCCTAACAGGGCTGATGTTCGTCCTGCGAGTCGAGTTTCTAACTGACCAAAAACCATTCCGTTGTTTCTCCCGGCTAGCCCCACAACCGTGCTTATCTGAGATGAGTCAAATATCACTCAAAAATGAAACAATAATAATTTCAAGTAGAGGACAAAATATACATTCACTAAGCTTATTATTTATTCAAAAAGGATTACATAAAACCTTTTAAGATGATAATAATACTCTTGGCGTGTAATTAAAACCACTGCTACGAAAACAATGCGAGAAAAGTAAAGTTTAATGGGTTAAAATGGCTTTTAAGGTCCAAGGTATAAAATGAGAGGTGAGCGTTTTACAAATTTATTTATTTTTTGTTGTATGTGACGAATAAAAACAATTGTTTGTATAATAATATAATGCCTTGATATTATTAAGAACAATTGCTAATATCTAGGCATTAACATTCAGTACAAAAATTTCTCTCATTCTCGAAAAATAAAATTGTGATATTTTTTCCCTTGAATGTCATCCGAGTCCAAACTATGATATTATCATGTTGTTTCTTTTTACGCACGAAAGCAACAGATTGACATGACATAAATGTTCTAATGTTGCTATATTATGTATCGTATTGTTGTATGTAATAATAAAAATAATTGTACCTAGATATTAATATGTGAAATCCATGTAGCTACGATATTACTAGTTTCTCGAGCTTCAAGCTCAGCAATCGAGTCAGGCTATATCGATACTAAGGACGCCTAAACCTGACAATAGACCAAATCTGCAAGTTTTGGATAAAAAATTATGAGAAAAATGTTATAAAAAAATTAACCGCTCATAACTTGTACCACAAGCTATTTTAATTCTGGCCAATAGTGTGGCGGTGTTTGGTCGGCCATATTGTCGGTTAGGCCTGAGAAATTTTAATATTTGCGACTACCCGCTTTCCAGATTAGGCTTTGTTAGTGGTGGCGGTAGTCTGACACTTTATTCGTTGTTTCACCCTCGTAGGGAAATTAAAGAGCTTGGCTTTTGTAGGAAAATGTTTTTATAGTTTTATTGTTCTTTATGGTTTGAGTAATAGAGTTTATAATGGTTAAATGTCAATTTTTCTTGAAGTTGGGAGGAAACTGCTTTTTATAGTAAGAGACATTTTGGTAATAATATCTTATTTTTGGAATCACAGTAGATAGTGGAATTCTTTAATATTGAGCATTAAAAACTTTTGCACTAATTATCATGTCCCATGCAATAATGACCCGTAAAACCAAGCAGTAAAACCATGGATCCGCTTGCTCAGCAGAAAACACCTACCCATTTTTTCCACGAAGCTTATTCTTGATAGATTTTAAACTCAATTCAAACTAGATCGTAAATGCATACTAATTGAAACACAAAATTAAGTGACAAACTGAAAGCAACATCTTAATTTTACCAAAGGACTATATCATAACTGAATTTTTCGACCAAATGTAAGATAGATAAGAACTATACGCTTTGAAATCAGTAATGACTAACTTCTATAACTAGACTTGAAAGCAATGAAGGCGATACGGAATGTTCTAGTTTAATTAGTTCACTACAACAGAAAACAGGACCAAGGTCATATCGGAAAATTTCCAACTTCACCTTTAGTAGTAGTAGTAATACATTTAAAGTTCAAATTAGTGAAGCAGTTAATT